AAGTAGTCAGGCTCAAAGCCCCAAGGAGACTTGCCGAAATACTTCTCTGGCCATGGCCTACCAATGCACAGTGCCAGTGTGCCCTGCTTGCCCGCTTCCAAGTACATCTCCTTGGGGGTTGTGCCCTTTTCATCCCAGTCGTGCACGTTGCTCATGATGTGCTCATCCACATACTCACGCATCAGTTTCCGGAACTGCTTGTGGGTGTCGTTGTAGTATGGCGTGTTGTACGCCTGGTACCATGACGGATCTCCAAATGGGTGCCCCTCACCATACACCTCCGTGTTCATGCCCTTCAGCATCGCTGGGCTCACCATGGTTCTCAAGAAATCCCAACCAAAACTCGAAACTGCGAGGCTTTGAGGCGAAATGCTGGGAATATTAGGCCATCATGCTATCATGCTATCTCGACTAGACTTTTGAGTGACGAGGCTCAATCTGTAGTCTGTTGCTCTTTGTGGCACTTCCCAGCTGGAACTGACAGTCTTGTTTGCAGTAGTCTGCACACAAGCAGCAGCGAAAGACACATTTTCCATATCCTTCGCTGGATCTAGCTCAGGCAGTCGGGCCTGGAAGTCTGTCCAGGTTCAACTCCAAGGTCGAGACCATTCTCTGCACTTACAGCTCTTCAATAGAGAGGTTTTTCGCGCTCACTTCATCTCTCTGAGGGTGCCAAGTACGTCATGTCCAGTGCTCCTCAGGTCTCCAGATTGAACGACGGGCAAAGCCTCAACTACAACTAGGAGAACTCCCATGTCTTGACATGCAGGTGGGCAGCTGAATATCTCTTCTTCAGAGTGCGCAATCACCTTCACAAACAAAGTGATGGCAATTAACTTGGACACGTCTCTTGGACACACTCCTAGCTTGCCATGTGCACGAAAACATCGCCGCCACCGTTGGAAACAGCCGTGGGATGCTACTTACTGTGCTGCCACTGCCGTTAGTTCTAGCCTGAACTACCCTGCCAAAAGATGAGAACTTGCCCAAACACGAAGGTAGGGATGGCGGACAATGTAGCAAAACATTGCCAGGTTCCAGTTGGAGGCAACAGGGGTGGTGTGGGGGTGCGCGGCATGTTGCGCACCAGTTTGGCTTGCACGAAGATGCACGGATGTCACAACACCATTCACCAAAAAGCACAAATCACCGAAAGCCTTCCGGCCCGTGGTTTTGTTCTCAAGGCCGTACTCGCTCAGCGTGAGTCCCATTTCAATCGCTTTCCTCAGAAGATACTGGCCTACACTAGCAAAGAGTCAACAGGCGAGGCAAGCATGTTGTTTGTTTCGTGAGAAGAACTCTGCCACGCCAAAAGGAAGGGGTGGCCACATACACTGCAGAAGAAAACATGTGCAAACTCCCAGCGTTTAGACTGAAAGCTTGTTCTCACCAAACAAGGCTCAACCGCATCTTCACGGAGAGGGCCTCAGAGACACCAATCCCACGAGAAAACACAAGTCGGAGAGCCCCTCCCAACAGCTGAGATCTGGGCAGCGCTGCCAGTGAAGTACAACATGCCTCAAAGGACAGAAAGGCAATCTGCCAGTTTCGTCTACTTTGCCTGTTGTGTATGTGCGGCTCCTTTTCAATGAAGCAGGCTGACTGCATCAGGTGAGTATATACAATGTGAGTTTGAGGACATGTAGCCCCACGGCTCAGCTTTCTACTGATTGACATGCAAAAAGGCACACACGAAACTTGAACGTAGCATGGTGCAAGCTCCAACCATGCAATAATACATGGGGATGTAAGACATAGGAAACAACACCAAAGAATGCTTTGCCATGGTTTTGTTACGTTGCGCGCATTCGGTCAGATCCGCTGCCACAACTACCAACACCCACGTCTAGCGGCTAGCGAATACATCTGGCCCTTTTTTGACGGATGGTTGCTCCATGAGTCACAGTGCAAGGTTGCATCTGGCTCAAGCAGCAAGGCAGCTTGGGTGAAGCTGACCCTTGCTCTCTGAAGGTTAGGAAGATCCTAGTCCTAAGATTCCCTGCAATCTAAAGTAAAGTCCTGACACCTTTCAGTAAATGACCTGCATCTTCTGCCCATCTCGGTATTCGTACTTGGGATTCTTCTGCAGATGTTCATATCGCTCCAAGACTTTTTCTTGCCTCTCAACATCCTCGACGATCTTGTCCCAGTGCCCATAGTCAAAGGGTCCTTTCTTGCGGAGCGATGCATCAGGTGGCCAAGGTGTGTCGGCGGGTAATCCAAAGGCTTCAGGCCCCAAATCTTCAAACTTTGGTGTCGGCCTCCAGGGAATTCTAATCATGGAACAAGGCTGTCACACAAACACACGTGCGGAACACGTAACTGCAGAATGGTCTTTGCACATTCAACAAGGGTGATAACAATGACTGAGATCCAACGCGTAAGAAAAGCCAACTACCACCCCCGCCCATGCAATGCGTGTGCTACATCCATTTCAAAAGGACCTGAGGTTTTCGTAGAAGCTATTCCTCCAATTTCTCACTTGATTTGAACTGGCCTTCTGACTGCTGCATTGGCTTCTCTCGTGCGAGTGTTGTTCTCCTCCTCTTCATCCGCGCGCATCTCTCTTTCCAACGAGTCCCACTTGGAGTAGTCGAATGCCAACTGCTTTTTCTTGACCTCTTTCTTTGCTGGCTTCTTGATGTCATCTGCCTTGCCGTGGGGAAATCATAACTGGGTGCATTCCAGCAAGCTTGCTGGCTCAAACTATTGCGGCATGTCTTTGCTGCTGTACTGTACGATTAGTAAGGATTTTATTCTATTGAGTGCAGTAGTATCTAGAGCTTTACCAAGGAACGAATGCTGTTATATAGTCAAATGTGCGTGCCACATGCCTGCTTCGGCGCCAATGCATAAGCATGGATGAGAGCAGCACAGGTTTTGAAGCCCTTCCGCTCTGCCATAGTCTCTGCTGTCAGACCTGCACGATTAGCAAGATCCACTGGAGCAGCAGCTTCCAAGAGCGCTGTGCAAACATCTTCGTGGCCGCCGTGTGCAGCGTACATCAAAGCTGTGTTGCCCTCAGAGTTCACCAATTTGCAACTGGCTTTTAAGGCCAAAAGCGCCTCCACAACATCCAAGTCTCCTCGATGGGATGCAAAGTGCAAGGCACTGTTGCCCTGGCAGTTCTGAAAGTCAACGTGGGCACCTGCTTTCATCGCTTTACGCAGCAGCCGCACTTGAAGCCCCTGAGAGTCCTTCCACTTTCCCTTCACCTCACATCTCATAACATCTCCGGACTCTTAATGAGAAAATGTTTTCTCAACACCACATCACTAAACGTCATACTCACGTCTTAAGTAACTCCGGAAACTGAGCTAGGTGCGATGAGGATGATCGCAGTGTCACCCTTCTCATCCGTTAAATTCATGTCGGCTCCAGCTTCTATGGCCGCCTCGGCCGTTCGCACGTCCCTCTGAGCAAGAGCGGTCAGCAGTGAAATGCCGAACTTCTTGGGCCTCTCCTTGTTGTCAATGAGTACCTGATGCAAAGTCTGGATCCAAAGATTCAGAACAAGTGTTTTCAAAGCATGAGCACGCCAGCACTAAAAAATCAACTGACAAAACTGAAAGACAAAAAAAAAAAAAACAACAACAACAACAACACCAACACCAACACCAACAACAACAACAACAACAACAACAACACAAAGGCCACTCCTTCAGTTCTCGGCTTTTCTTGGCAGGATCTTCTGGAAGGGGCTGTCCTGCCATTTTCTCCCTCCAGTTCTTGAGCGGATTGTGCTCAGCCTCATCGGCTTCTGGAACCACCTGCTGCGGACGAATTTGGCAGGACCTAGGACCTCAAAACCAGCTGGAAAACATCCAACACTTTCCCATGATGACACATGTTCCTCGCCCAACTTGGTTTTCTTGAAAGAGCTTCTAGGATGGCCTTGACCATGTCTGAGGCTGCCCTTCCAAGCGAATCAGTTGCAGCTGCATCGGCACCCGCATCCAAAAGAACTTGGGCTGCTTCGTGATCACCCTAACAAGACACCGAAAGTGATCAAAAAGAAAGCGGACAGCCTAAAACCCAAGGTCATTGTGACGATTCCTGCCTGCTTTGCGGCCATCATCAGGGGTGTTTGGCCAAAGGAATCCCTGCAATCTGGGTCACCCCGGGCTTCTAGGACCATCCTGAGGAGTTCATGAGAGCTTTTGGCAATGCAATAGTGGGCCGCACAGCGCCCGGTGTCTGGGTGTGGGCAGCTGGCAGTCTGCTCATCCAACTTTGCAAACGCTTTCATCACATCGCCCTTCTCGATTGCGTTGCACAAATCTGCAGCTCTCATAGAGATGAGCTTGTTGGCCGTAGACCATTCAAACTCCTCGCGCCTCTTCCTCGCCTTCTCCAAAATGCAATCCAAATGGGTCACACCGTTCGAGAGAAGCTTCGAAGGCTTGGAGAGAAGAGTGGAGCTCGCCAAGCTGCCCCGACCCTGGAACCACTCCGGGTGTCCAATTGCATGCTCCTTTGGCGGTAGCCAATCTTTCGATGGACCTCCCAAGCCTGCAGGATGCAAAGCTTGAGCTCAGAAATCAGCACGCTCTAAGAACACAACACAATCTGTTTGAGCTACAGTACTGATAGCGACGGCCTCCAAACTAATAGCAATGGCCTCCAACCTGTTTCCCAACGGTAACTTGAAAAGCCCTGCCTGCAAGCATAGAGGGCATGAAGGGATACCGACCAAATTTCTTCATGTTCGGAGGCGCCCCACGACGCTTTCGTTCGAACGTGCCCTCGACAAACTCATAGGGAGCTGAAGGGTCGAAGTCATCATCTTCATCAGAGACTGGAGGGCTTACCTGCCACGCTTCGTTCCAGTCCGCACAAGTGGCCGGCAAATTAAAGCTGCCATCGCGCCCAAAGAAGAAATGATACCAATGAGTAGTTCAGAAAACTGTGCCCAAGTGACCAAAAAGAGTTCTCAAAGCGAATGAGATGACAAAAAATGTGTCCATCCCCTGGCCCTAGCTTTCACTTCACCAAGGCACATATTGTGGCCCTTCCGCCTCTGAAAGGACCATCCCCATCAGTGAATTCGCAGAATACCCTGGGTTCGGTCGGCCCAAATCCTGCAAAGAACTCAACACGCAACGCATCACCATACACATCCATACACCACAACGGGCTGACACAAAGCAAAAGCATTGCAACTCTTTCCAACGCATCCTCAAAGCTCAACTGTCCGTTCCAAAGCCCTTGCTCCGGCAGCTCCTGGACATGAGGGATGGACTGGCATGCTGCAAAGCCCTGCTAAGCTCTACTATATTGTATTCGCAGGGGTGTTCTATTCCATCTTTCTGGCAGCCCACTGTGTTTGCTCTTTTTGCCCCCGTCGCTGCGAAAAAGTCATCAATTTAAGTCACACAGTCATGCATCCAAACAGTTTGCAGTACTCAGTACATCAGTGTGTTGCTGCACTACGTGTCTCTGTCCTCGTCATCATCTGGTCCAAGGAGAATTTGACGAATTTCGTCCTCGTACCTCGCGGTATCAACAGGTATATAAAAGAGTTGACCTACATCAATGCTCAATGCTGAACAAGTCTGAATGTCTTGCCAAAATGGCAGCACCTCTTTCGAGCTCCCTGAAGGAAAGGAGGAAACGTTGGTACAGGTTCAGGACTTGCACGAGGATCCTGGAGCAAGCAGTAGCTGCAAGACATGAACTCCATCTACAGCTTTGATAAGGTCCTCCACGTGCACTGATTGCTTCAACCACTTCTTGGCCTTGAAAAGACACGCCAGCGTTGGACAATGTGTCCAACGAACATAGTACACAGATTCTGCTGAACACCAAGGCACTGCATAAGCTTGCCATCTGGCAAGCCCATGCCAAATGAATCTCTTGCCCATTCCTTCCTCAGACTCTAAACCATGTCGTTCCCGAGTCTGGGTGAGTTTCAGGCTTGGTGAGGCCAACTGCACCCAAGCATCCTGAAGATACCAGCCAACCTCCTGAGCAGTCTCCTCTGGAAGTTCTTCCAACCGTGTAATAATAGCAGGCCTCAAAGTCTCGTTGTCCTCGGCGCCGGGAAATCCATGAGGAACTTAACTTGGAAGAGTATATCCTCATACACCCCAGCATAGCGTTTTGGATAAGAAAACGCGCTATTAGACAGGTGGACTGATATTTCGCAAATATATATATATAATATCATACGATATATAATCGCACTGATGCCCACCAGCCTTCAGGGTTCCCAAAAAGTTGTGATCATGGTTGCTCCTGGTTCCAGAGTGCTCCAGGCAAAAAAAACGATCAGGGCCTTGCTAAGAAAATAAGACCCCTAGGACCTAGGCGGCATGCCACGTCAAAACATTTGTCCGTATCACCTCGACTCTTCCTGTCATCTTGTTTGCATGCTTAATCCAAGGCACAAAGTGCACAATTTGGGCAATGCCTGGCCAATAGTCAGTTTCATCGTTCTTAGGTCGGCCAACCTCGGCGTCGAGCTTTTCTGCACCTATGTATGCTCACTGTACTGGCATACTGGTTCCATGTTTCACACAGGTTTCAGCTGATTTCGTTGCCACGATGTTGGCACACGTCTAGTCAGCCGAGAGACCACCTTCTTCTCCACATCTACACGCATCCCTAGGTCGAGGTCAAACTGGAGCATCGGCTCATTTGCCCGTCCTATCAAATTGACTTCACCTGCAGCATGAATCTACGTGCACTTCCAGCATGCAGCATGAAGCACACCGAGCATGAGCAGTTTTGCCATGGTGGCATCTCCATACATGCACTCTGAAACTGCCTCAATGCTTCTTACAGAACGTCTCGAAAGAGCGCCCAAGGCCTTCAAGTTGCACTTCAGCAATGGAGAGCTCGTACTCTGACCAAGGGGTAGAAGCAATGCTCCGCTTCCTCATTGCAGTCTCCAGGGATCTTCAGGGTGTCAGGCAAGTTACGACGCAAAAAAGCCTCCCCCTAACCGTGTCCTGTCGTCTGGATCTTGCATGCACATCAAAAGGAACTCTGGCAGTGTCCTCTGTGCCCACCTTAGAGTTCTGCGGCATTGACACATCTCCACACCAAACCCAGCAAACGATGCATAGTCAGTGCAGCTGAGAGACTCCAGGAGATCTCGATCACTCCAGTTCAAGCTCATGATGGACAGAGATGCTACAAAATGCAAAATCGGCAATGTGTTTTTGTCATTTTGGGTCCCATCTCACTGCCCCCATCTCACTCTCCACTGCGTTGCATTCGCTTTGCTTTATGTCCTTGCTGGCTGGGCCCAGCTCTTCCCCCTGATTGAGCCCAACTTCGAGCGGTAGGTGCCACATGCGTTACAGAACATGGAATCATTGCCAATCAAGACTTCAAGAAGTTAAGCAGCTTTCGACTCTTAGACTCATACGTAGGCTTATGGGCCAAAAATTACAAAAGCCTGTCGATGTTTGCTGGTTCCACCAAACGACTTCTGGCGACTGAGCTGCCAAAGTGATACTGGTCCTCCGGCATGCAGCGGATATCAAGTCGTCGGTGCAAATGACCACGTGAGAGCCTCACAAACTTATTTCCACTTTGGAAAGCTCTGGCCGAAACCAAGTTCTTCTGTACCTCCTTCAACCTCCACACCCCTCGCCTGCAAACTCCCATAAACTTTGTCTGCCCGAAGGCAAGGTCTCCTGTCACATAGCCAGCCTTCTTCAACGTGCTGACCTCAAAGGAGAGGGAAGGGGCTGCCTCTTCGCTGTGGCTGGAACAACGATGCCGTGCAAGATAATAGACCAAGGCAAGGCTCGAACCCATGAAGGAGCTTTCCACCAGCGTTTGCTTCTTTCTTGGCTGTGGTGTAGTCGGGGTGGCTGATGAGCACATCCTCATGACGAGATCTATGTGAGTTACCCTAAGTCTATCTTTGCCAAAGTTGATTGTAATTATGTGTTCATTTAGATATTCATTTAGATCTTCATTTTATTTACAAACGATTTATGTGTTATGTTCATTTCTTTTGGGATTATCTGTTTTTTGCATCATGTTCATCCTTCCAGAATTGGTTGGCTTGGCTGTCACTTCCCATAGGCTTCCCATCGCGGCTCCCAAGACATCAGCTCCAAGCTTCGATATCACCACAGTCTGGGCGCCCACGGCGATAGGAACCACAAACCTTACTTACATAAATTAAACATCTTCAGCAGCAGACTCAGAAAACCCCTAGTCCATCATGTGTCCAGGAATCAGAAGCCGAATGCCGCATGCCCTTAGAATCCAAGCTCTCGACTGTCAGGAGCAGGTCCGGGTGCCCTTTCAAGCAGCATTGCTCCAATAACTTGTGGTGCTCTTTCATCTCAGCCTCATGGGCAGGCAAATGGCTACACAACAAAAAGCCCACCTCGCCTGCTGCCTGGGGTATCCGCTTGCTGAACTCTTCGCAATGGCGAAGCCCCAAGGCCTAACAAGCATGTACAAGCATAGCGTCGGCTTGCTTCGCATGCATCTCTCGTCTGTGCATGGCAGTCAAATCAACGATTAGATGGTCATCAAGAGTGACCTGCGCTGAGTCCAGGTGGACTTGGTTCTTCTCCACGGCGTCTCTGAGTTGCGCCAGCGATCTTATGCCTCGCTCCACCAGCTTGGCAGCACTGACAGCACCAATGCCGTGCACCTGATCTGCAAAAATCTTGGTTTCAACATATTTCGACTGATGAGCCAAACACAATGAAAAATCCTGCCCCAAGAACCATCGGAAGCAAAGTCCCCCTAGCTTGCGACGATCCTGCACGTGCAGTATTTGGCTTCATTCATCTCAATCTGACCCCAGGTTCAGCCAAAAAATGGGACTCGCAGTCGCCGAAGCACGGATCGGAGCTCTCGCAGGGCCACTACATCGCTGTCCAACTTCAACTCCTCCAGCTCTTTCAACTCGCCCGTTTTCAAGATCACCTCGGCTGAAATTAAAAGAAACTTGCAAAAACGCAAGGGTATAATTGTAATTGGCGTAAACAATGGAGTATGACGGCAGAGTGGCTAGTTATATATATATATATACATGAATTAAGGGTAAACATAAGCTAGCAGCTAGCAACTAGCTAGTAGGAAGGATGCAACACCACCCTTCGCATGGCTGAAACGGTTCAGTTTGATTTTTTGAAATGGCCCGCACCATGGCCAACAGGAATGTTGCCTCGTGTTCTAGAACTTTTTCATGCTATTGACGGGCGGCCCGAGGACAACACTTTGTGACATTCACTGCTTTCACTCAGCAGCCATTAATGTTCAACCGTTCAACCTCGATATGTGAGAAAAGTCTTGGGAAACCTATTCCAGACCCAAAAGTTGCTCTGGGGGGTGGCAAATTTAAAAAGAAATCCAGAGTTGTTTTTGTTGTTCAAGTGTTTTCCTCACCTGTGTACTGTGTTGGCCTTGAAAACCCCCACCGCCGCCGAAACCACCACTCCGGCTCATATTTCCTTCACATATTTGCGTCACGCTGTTTTCTGTGTTCCTACTGTTGTTCCTCTGTTGTTGGTCCATCTTTGGTCCTGCGACTCTGAGCTGATACCTGTATAAAACTACATCAACATACATCAACATATTGCCACAAACCTTTTTTGAAGGAGGTAGCCAATTGATTTCAAACGAATGGCCTAGGCATTTGGAACACGACACAAAACCTTGTCCGGCTGCAAAAGAAGCCGGCGACGGTCTCTATTATTTATGTGTCTGCCTCCGCCCTCTCCTCCGCCTTCTCGGGTCTGACTTCAGTTTGCTGTGCTCCGGGCCATAAAATGCCAGAGCAAGTGCCGAAACACATACAGTAAGCCAGAAAGCAGGTCAAAGACATGCCTTTCCTGATGCTAGCACAAATGAAAGAACAAATGTCATACATGCCAGAACGCACATCAGCACAAAGGCTGGAACACTTGCAGAAGAACAAATGTCAGAATACGTGACGGAACACATGTCAGAGCCAAAACAAATGTCCGAACAAATGGCAGATTTGATCAGAACAACTGTGGGAATACATGACAGGACAGGTGTCAGAACCAAAGCCGGACAATGCGTCACAACAAATTTCAGACTTGACAGCAGGACAAATGTCAGAACACATGCCAGAAAGGACGTCAGAACACATTCCAGAACATTTCCCAGCCTTTACATCACTTACACGAAAGGATGTCCTTTTATGCCCTTTTCATTTCTGTTAACGTCCTGGTTGCAGTCAACACTCGAACCTTGACTAAACCTTGAATCAAACTCATTGGCCAAAGACACATCGATCCGATTGGCCATGCCAGCACCAATCCCTTTAATGGCCTTTGCTTGGGCCCCACTGTCGATCGGCTCCGCAAGTGCTCGCAAGGCTTGAGCTGCTTTCGCATAGGCCTAGCTCGGACAGCGAAGAGAAGGGCCACTGACCTTGCTGCCTTGCTCAAGAACTCACGGTACTTTTGATCTTTGGCGAAGGCACTCCAACAGGCTCTAGTCACTCTAGTGCCTGCGAGCGAAAGCGATCCCGCTTAAGCCTTTGAACGACACTCATCTCCTCGAAAATGGATGCAATCTTTTCATTGCCTAGCAGGGTAATGCCAGCAAAACACATTCACGTCAGACCTTAGCCTGCTCTTGTGGAAACAGTTTGGGGCACGGTCAAACAATGCAGGTCAGGTAGGCAAATTGAAACGCAAACGGAAAGGGATAGGTCGGTAGATGCGAGTTCATTCTGCTGCAAGGAGGGGAGGAGGAGGGGGAGGAGGAGGGGGAGGAGGAGGGGGAGGAGGAGAAAAAGCAAGTGCAACTATCAAATATCTACGATGCTGCTGTATCGGTCGTAGATCATACTAGATCAGTTTGGTCGCACTGCGTTTTTCTTCCGCTGTCCATTGCACCGGTTTGACCATTTTCAGTCTTCCAGCGCTTCATGTCTTGCATCACGCTTTCCAGTTCTGCGCTTTGGGTGAGGTTTTCGAGTGAGTTTCCAGGCATCCTCGTCCACTTCACCATCATCAATACCAACGATCGCGGGACCTTTGCGCCTTCGTGGGCCAATGATATGCGCAGGCAGTTGAAATGCGGCAGCCTGTTCAGGGGTGCACGGCCAAAGGCGCACTCTCAACTCATCAGGAGGTGCAAGTCCTCTCCTCCTTAAACTCTTTGGAGAGTGGATCGCCATTTGGAGTTCTCGAATGGATTCTTCGAAGTACTCGGGCTTTGCCATGTCACGAACTTCAGCAATGATACGGAGAGCCAAATCCAGTACATCTTCAGCTGTGGCGCGTGATTGCAGAATACGGGCCTCTACCCGGTGCCCCTTTTCTAAAAAGCTTCTAACTTGGTTGACTTTCCGCTCAAAATCGTGTTCGTCGATGACAGCAGAAAACCGCATACCTTTCACTCTCATAGCAGGGTCAAAGGAGAACTCCCTTAATTGCTGCTCCCGGCGCTTCTGTTCTTTGGAAGCCTTTTCTTTATCTAATTCTTCAATGTACACGTGCAAATCCACTAGTCGACAGAGTGGCGGGTCAATCTGCCCAGAAAGCACAACTAAGTCAGTCCGCCTCTGCTTGGCCAGAACCAAGGCTTCTTGGGTGTTGAAGTCACCAACGAGACCCGCATCGTCAACAACCCGCACTCGCTGAAAAGGAATATCTTGATTTGCTAGAATGTCATGAACCGAAGCAAACGACCTTGGCCGACATGCCCTCCACATAAAACATAAAGGTGCGTGTTCACCTCGAAAACTCAAGCTTCTCAAATGCAGAGGTGTTCCCCTACGAACCTGCTCATGCAGAAGGCCGTGTCCAAGGAGCACGGAGGAAGCTATGCCTTTGACGTGTCTAAATCGCCTGCAGGTCTGATTTAGTGTTCTTTCGCCAAATCTCCGCATAAAGGAGGCCATGGCGAGGCAGTCGTCTTATCTGTTTTGCTCCTGACCTGTACCCTTTGGCAAGCTTTCATTCAGTTGTTGGTCTGGGTAGTGTTTCAGAGACTGTATCGATGGAATACAATTGACTTTGATGTTACTGATGGAGTCGGAGTTTGAATTGACTGAATTTGATGAAGTCTTGGAACCTCTTTAAAACGCTGACGAGTGCTGTGCTCTTGTTCAGCCAATCCAGGAAATTCCCCGCATCCCATACACCTGAAGAGGTTTACAGTGTATATATATATATAAAGTCTTAGAACAAGCGAATCTTATGAAGTCCAATCAACTAGCCTAACGAGCAGCCCAGAACCCCTGTTTTACCATCTTCCCCATCTGCCCCGGCAGGGCTGTGATACGAAAGAAGCTACAGTAAATGCAGGAAATGCGCGGCGCAAAGCTGTGGAAGAATGTCTATGGCACTTACTGTAAAAGCTACGGCGAAAACCTATACAGTAAGTAGAAAATCCCCAACTGGATGTTGGTAACCCCTTACTGAACCATGCATTTGAGGGTTTTGGCCTGGTCCGTTCGAAGCAAAGCCGCAAAGCTCGTGCCTATCTTCGGATCGCCATCTCCATCTCCCACACCAGCGCCGCTTGTGCTGGGTGAACTCGGCCCACCCAAATCAGCCAGACTACCTCAATGAGTCTTCGCATGCCGGTGTGGTTAGGAGTTGTTCAACCGTGCTTCTGTCGATCGCCAATATCTATGTGGCATTATCTAGCGAAACCATGAAAAGCTTTCTTAAAACGCCCTTTTGAAAAAAACAACAAGCGCAGCCAAACATGCCTGCGAAATCTGAAGCAAAGGAACTTTGAACTGGGGCCTCGTCGAAACAACTTGACAAAAAAGCACCCAACAAAAGGCATCCTCAAAAGCGCCCACCTCTGATCTCTCTGGTCCCTTGGGCAGCTTGGAAGGGGAACCTTCCTTCTTCTCCTTTGTGAAATATCGCGAGAGCGTCTTCTTTGGTTTTGCAGTTTCAATGGCTGCAACCTCCCTCGCCGGCTGAGGCCTGCCAGGCGCATTGTTTCTGAGGATGGAAATTGATAGCCCAGCCACGGGATGACATACGTAGCTGTAGAAGTCAAGACAGGCTCAAAACAAAAAACTAGTAACGTGAAGAGCTGTTGAGATCCTTCCCTGTATACTGACTAGCCCGATGCACCTGTCAGGAAGTTCAGAGGCCCCACCTAGCGCTTCAATCCGCACTCTGGAGAAATTCTAAGAGAGCTTGGCATGGCCTCCAACCTACTGTAAAAGCAATGGCCTCCACCCTAGACGTGATGGCCTCCAACCCAATAGCGATGGCCTCCACCGTAGTAGCTTGGTGGCGGCAAGGGTTTATTGTCTTCTGCGCGTCTTGGCATCCCTCTTTGCTCAACCTATCCCACGGCACCTTGAGCAACTGCTGCGGTAGCCACATCTGCTTCAGATGGGCTGGTGATGCGCAAGCGCCTGCCAGCCCAATCTGAGCGGTTTCATTACAGTCAATCACATTTGAAAACAGTACGGACGGCGCAAACTCCAAGTATAGAATAGAAACTCTCTGCAGCCATTCTTCAAAGCCTGACCTTCTCTTGCCAGTCAGTATGTCAATCTCCACACGCGCATCCAAGTGCAGTTCACACAGGCGACTCCCTACCATGCAGGATGCCAGACTCTTCAGACCAGCACCAGCAACTCGCAAGCTTTGCAAAACCTGCTGTCACGCCCATCAATAAGCTACTAGGAACAAGTGCATCGCTTCTAGTAACAAGTGCCTTACTAGTAGTAACAAGAAGCTATTGGAAACGATAAGCCTTCTTGTTACTACTAGTAAGGCACTTGTCATGTGTTCCACTCTTCAGCTTCAGATTTAATCAACTGGCATATATAGACGAAAGCATCGAACCAAACTGACCGGGGCCTCCTGCTCACAAGGATGCCAGCCGCTATCATCTTCTACCTATGCGGTTTGCATCGACTTAGGTGACCATGCTTGGCAATGGTCTGTGCCTCCCAATGTGCCAAAGCAGCTGCTGTCACCTCTTGCGGAGTTGCCAGCATCGCATTGCTCGGCACACTGCCATGGAGTCAAAGATTCATTCAACAAAACAACCAATGAGACTGGAAGGCAAAGCATGATTTCCTTTACAGCCCACCAGTCTTCAAAATGAATCTAGCTGCTAGCTCAAAGGTCTGCGGCCTACGGAAGTCGGGGCTGACAGAACACTAGTTTCCCAAAACCTCTCGCGGTCTCCTCAACTTTTGAGCCGCAACCGAGACTCAGGTGCCTTGTCTCAAAGCCCCTCCATACGCTTTGTTTGTTTGTTTCCTTGTTTGTTCGCTTGCTTATTTGTTTGTTTGCGTAGTTCTTTTTGGGTGTTTCTATGCTGCTGGGGCGTGACCCCTGATCCCCTGTTGGAGGAGGGGAGATAAGAAAAGTGTGCGTTCTGTCACATGTCTTGCACTTGCTCCTCTTGCTCCCAACCACGGCGAAAGAACCATCAGCTGCTACAGACCCCTTCAAGCAGGGTGCAACTGGGACATGCTGATTTTTTCCGAGTCCACGGATCCAGCTCGAGCCTCTGCAGACCCAGCTGCAGGTGAAACTAACTTCTTTTGGGATGTTCAGTTCTCTGCCAGGCCAAGATGGCTGATTGATACTTAGGCTGAGCTGAGCTAACGCTCCTTGAAGTTGTCAAAAATTGGCTGGAGCTGCTTGTAACAGCTTGTAGTATGTAGGCGGCTATCTATCTATTCACACTGGCATGCATGTGGCGAACAATAAAATAACAAGTGTTGATTGGTGCATCCTCTTGTCGATCTTTGGATGCCAAGGACTGGGCTGATGATCAGATGGGCCTGGGAGTTCCACGACTACCGTTGAATCATGCCACGCTCCTTCATGCGCTGCTTCGTCAGAGCCTTAGTCAAAAACGCCAAAAAAACGTGTATATATATATATAGTGTTCCCGTAAAAGCACATATGGAAGCCGCACCAAGGATCTGCGCCACAATGACTCGCCCAGGGCCCCAAACCAGTGAAGCTGCCGCCGAGATAGGAAATCGACGCACAGAGCCAGTCGTCGGGCGGCTGGACATTGGCCTGGGAGGTGGCCCCTGGACAGCCACCAACCTACCACGCAAACTCCCTATCTAATGTACTATACAGACTATACAGCGCAATATTTACCAGGAAGTCTCCGATAGGAGGGACAAGCTTTGGACATTGAAAAGGTGCTTTCACTCGGAGTTGATGGCCTCAGAAGTTTCCCGCACATGGTCACCCGCAGGGGCATAGCAAGACATTGATCATCTTCCTCCATTCAGAACCTTGAGCCTACCATTGGAAGAAGATGGGACTCGGGCAAAGAATCTCCAACCGTCACTCTCTGCGGTCGAGCTGTTTGTGGCCTGACTTCTCCCGACAGGTTTTTCAACCACTTGAATGTAATTATCCATCTTTAAATCCAAAACTCCAACATATTCCACCCCAACTCTCACACAACTGTCCGAACAACCAGGCATAGAGGCAAATTTCAAAGTGTCAGACGCGGAAAAGGTACTCTCACTGGGAGTGGATGGCCTGAGTCACCGTCCGCAGTAAAGTAGCACTGTCCAGTGTCCACCAATAAAAGCTTTATGGTTGCTACTAGCTTCTTGCTACTAGTAGCGATGCCCTTGTTACTAGTAGCTTCTTGTTCCTAGTAGTACTGCCAGGAACTACTAGTAGCTTCTTGCTGATGCCCTTGTTACTAGTAGCTTCTTGTTCCTAGTGGTGATGCGAGGAGCTACTAGTAGCTTCTTGCTACTAGCGATGCCCTTGTTACTAGTAGCTTCTTGTTTCTAGTAGTCATGCCAGGAGCTACTGCACTTGTTACTACCGTAGTAGCTTCTTGTTCCTGGTAGTACTGCCAGGAGCTACTAGTAGCTTTTTGCTACTAGTAGCGATGCCCTTGTTACTAGTAATTTCTTGTTCCTAGTAGTAATTTCAGGAGCTACTGGTAGCTTCTTGCTACTGGTAGCGGTGCCCTTGTTACTAGTAGCTTCTTGTTCCTCGTAGTAATGCCAGGAGCTACTATGCACTTGTTACTAGTAGCTTCTTGTTCCTGGTAGTGCTGCCAGGAGCTACTAGTAGCTTTTTGCTACTAGTAGCGATGCCCTTGTTACTAGTAATTTCTTGTTCCTAGTAGTAATTTCAGGAGCTACTAGTAGCTTCTTGCTACTAGTAGCGATGCCCTTGTTACTAGTAATTTCCTGTTCCTAGTAGTAATTTCAGGAGCTACTAGTAGCTTCTTGCTACTAGTAGCGGTGCCCTTGTTACTAGTAGCTTCTTGTTCCTCGTAGTAATGCCAGGAGCTACTAGTAGCTTCTTGCTACTAGTAGCGATGCACTTGATTGTTACTAGTAGCGATGCCCCTGCTAGTAGCCTGTATTCTGTGCACGGTGATTGGGCAATCTGTTGATAAGACTCGGGCACGTGATCTCCAACAGTCACTCTCGGCGGTCTCGCCGTCTGTGGCCTGTGCTTCTGATGGTTCTAAGGCACTGTTGGACGACAACGCACTATCGGTTCCAGGGTCGCCGGCGTGTGCTGCTTTGGCTCCGCTGGCACTGTTTGGACATACTGGGGTGTCGATTCTCGTGGACCTCAAGTCCAAGTGACAACTTGACCATGCGACTGTAACATGCGCTCGGATATGTCTTGCTCTTCCCAAAGGTATGCTACAATGTAGGGACCCAACTGATGGCAGGTAGACAAGGTCTTTAGGAAGGAGTCTGAAAGTTGTTGGAATGGCTAGGTGCTGGATGTGCCTACACCTGTTAAACAACTCATTTCAGCTCGTTATAGTATGTTATAGTTATAGTTCATTCTAGAACTTCTCCTCCCACAAATTCGTGATGGCCAACAGGAGACCTGCGGACTTCATGAAACGGACATGCATAAAGCGACTTTTTTGGCCCTTCGGTGTTCTTACTGGTCTTGTCTGTTGACTCAAAGACTGGCAAAGTTAAATTTACGCCTCGATAGATCACCCTGGGCCATACCGAAAATCCCAGCCTTTGTTCGCGGTGATGCCACTGTGGTTGTTGGGTTTTGGATGGCTTTTGTAGATACGGACGGTCCACCACAAGGTTTTTTTGCGGTCACAGGTTACAAGCATCGGATAGCATCGGTCTATCTTTGAGGCCTTTGAGGTTCCTGACATGTGCCCCGCATGCTGCACGCTACACGTCTGCAAACTTCGCTGGAAAATGTGCAACCGAAACCCCAAGCACTCCCCTGTCATCCTCGCTCTATGTTCTAGATCGTTAGAAAGCTGAGTTCTCAACCCGACCCGTCAGTGCTTCGCAAGCTGGAGAGCATTTCCACCAAGCCAATGCGAGACCTTATCTCGAGCAAAGCACAAGCTCAACATGCTGTTGTCATGCACCAGGATCCTTACGTGCAGGGCATCTTTTTGAATTCTGCCACTGCTCTTTCTGCATTTTTGATGCCTGGAAGGTGGGGTAGCGCGACGTGCATGTGGCACTAAAAGTGTGGTGAGCCATCTGAGACGGAGGCGCTTCGTGTCTTCCCAGGACTCCAGACACTCCTGCTCTTTCTATAAGTTTGTTGGCCCGATTCGCTGATGACAAGAATAAAGATAAGAAAAAAGAAAAGAAAACGGTCCCTTGAATAAGGCCTCCTTTTCAAGGTGGCCATATTTAAGGGGCCCTTCCTTCCCTTTGTTCTTCTCTTTATTCTTACCTGGGCATCCCTCGTCCTGCAACGCTGCACGTCCACGCTCTCGCTCTCGGACTTGCTGCCTGTGGTAGGAGCGACAGTTCCGCACGTGAGACAGCTTTTGGAGGCCTCGCCTCAATAGAGGTGTTGCCTCAAACTGAGGCACACACTGCACCAGATCGCGGTGGCAGGCCAAGTTGTTGATTCGATCTAATTCCTGGGCTTCACCACGCAATCATGGCATGATCTACAGAAATTGCTTTTATGTCTTAGGGCGTGGCATGGTCCAATGCCTTCCTTTGCTCCTTCTGCCTTTTCTTGAGCTCTACCTGGTTGCCAAAGTCGGCCCACTTGACCCTAGTAGCGTCCTTGCTCCTAGTAGCGATGCCAGGAGCCCCTAGTAGCTTCTTGTTCCTAGCAGTACGCCAGGAGCCCCTAGTAGCGTCCTTGCTCCTAGCAATCTGCCACAAACCTAGGCAACGCCTGCTGATCAAGATCGTCCCTCAGATTGGCTTGTCGCTCCATGATGTAGTCACGCACCTGTTTGCCACTCTGAGAAGCTCAAGTCGGCTCAAAGCGGTAGAAGGTTGAGTGCTAGGCTGAGATGCTGGAAGGCTTCGAAAAATCCGGGAAGTCGTGAAGGGATGCCTCCAGACCGCCGCCAAATCATGCACCCAGACCGTACAACGTGCAGCAAGCAACTTTACAACTAAAGCTGTCTAAAAGAACAAAGTAGTGACGCCCATTTAGTGGCACGAGGTAGGGCAAAGCTCGTATTTAGCCACTAGCACGTGGTACAGTACAGTATATAGCTGGGTCCACTATCCGGATCGATGGAAATAAAAAATCTGTTCGCCTGTTCCTTGGAGAGCCGCCTGGCTTCAGCTCGCCGCTGCTTGGTCTCCCTGATCTGCTCCTGGTGGGTTCCAAATTCAGCAGAAAATTGTTTTTTTCTCGGGGGGCCGGGGGGTAGGCCGAGAAGAGGTAGGAGGTAGTAGGGAGAGGTAGCTAGTACCTTATTGAAGGTACTAGTATGGACGCAGGATAGCTAGCCGCTTTTCGTTTGGCTCCTAGATATTAAGGGACACTTAAGTAAGCAGAACGCTCCAAATTGCAGACCACCTCAACGCCGTTCTACATTCATCATGTACGCAACTGGCGTTGTTGATGTCTGTCCTTGAGCATCTCTGTATGGTCCCTTTGAGCCGCTTGCCTCCAGTCCAAATCCTTCCATCCAGTCTCAGACTCGGCCGACTCGAACGGACGAAGGCGCAACGTGCTTTCCATGAAAAAGCCCCCTGGATTGGAACGTGCAGAGTCTCTTTTAGATCTCCTATGATGTCAAAAGCTCAGCGCTCCTTCTGTTCTTGTTCCAAGCACTGCCTTTCACAGCATGCCATGAAAGCTTTGTCCAAATGCAACCAGTGCAGCAAAGCTCCAAGCCTCATGTGGTGCTCCCACAACTCTTTCCTGGGAATGGCTAACAACTGGCCATGTCTTGCCTTGACTTACCTTTTGAACAATCTAGAGTACTGAGCTAGTATGGCAAGTCTATGCTGAAGATAGACTCCTCTTCACAACTGCCTTTTTGTTCTGCTTAACTTGACAGACTCGGCCCCGACTTCTTTGAAGGCGGAGAAGGTCTCATGCAAACCGCAAGCTGATTCAAGCAATGCAGCAGGGTGTCTCCCTGGTAGGATGCTGGGCGAACGTGACACTGGTAGAATGCTCGAAACCCCCACCTGAAAGTCATGATGACAGCACCAAAAACACCTCTCGGATCAGCATCAACAGGTAAGTATTCCCGTGTTTACCTTCGCTGGGATGAGAAAGCGATGTGACTATCCGCTTTGGAGGCACCCTGCTGCAAGGCAATAAGCGAAACATTGCTTATGCGGCTGATATCTCCTGATGCTTGCTCAGCTTACTTCAGCCAATCGTTCATCTTGCCTGTCTGCTCTGGAACTGCCTGGGCTCTGCACCGAACACATTGAAGCCCAAATGACAAATATTGTGCCAGGGTTCCCTGTTTTGCAAAATGTCCATGGTACAATTTTACGTGTGCGCATGCGTCATAAGAAGTTTCAAACATGTGTGTATATGTATATATATATATATCTGTGTGTGTGTGTGCGTGTGTCTTATAGTCATATATATATAAGCATGTACAGTACAAGTATCGGTAATTGTTCTGCTTTCAAGCCATTAGAGTTTAGAGCAGGCCACATTGACTTGCAGTCTCTGATCTGCTTCGCGTAATGCTTGAAGGAGTGCTTCCAGTGGCAATGCGGCTGAAAATCAAACTGAATTGCCCAGCATTTCGGCAGATTCTGTGCCGACCAGGCTTCTCAGCCTTCGTTTCAGGAGCATAGTAGCCTGGCCCAGGCGCACAGCCGGATGCCTTTGTGGCTCGTATCGTTTCAGCTGGTTGTCCTTTTCTCTGAGTCCATGCAGGTGAAGATGCCAAACGTACTCTGGAGGATTGTTCCATTCCATCCACTAAAGGGTACTGCCCAGGGCCCAGCGGGTTGATCCACATCTTGATGTTGCCAGGATTTCGGACACCTTTCAAAACTCCAGCGTCGTCCATCCGCGCATCATCTCCGAAGGTCCACCTGGGGAAGTATATGAAATTTTATATATAAACCCATTGCACCCTACAGATGGTCAAAAATAATGGCAACTTTGTAATGGCATTCTGACAACAAAACTGCTTCTGGCTGAGATGTTTTGACCAAGAAGCTGTGGTGATTTCTTGAAGCGCGCGTCAACATCCTTGCTGACCTCTCTCGTTGTATCACTTACAAAGTCTCGATCAGCCTTGTACTGCCCTGGTTGGACGTTCTGTGCAGCAGTCTTGAGGGCTAAGCCCGACTCCTTGGAGCATTGGCAGCATTGTGGTTAAAAACCATTACCCAGTCACCGTCTCGCAAGTTTGAACCACCCTCTCTCAGCAAACTCGTAAAAAAAACAAAAAAAACTGCTACCTTGGACATCTGCTATCTCCTTGCACCTACTTCAACCGCGGTCTTTTACTTTCATCCGCGAGCCGAGTGGTCGTCAAGATTTCCCGCCAAGTTTGGCGTACCTCCACATCCGGTGATAAGCACGGATCAAAGAAACCTGCACTCGCAAAACTCTCAGACACTAATACAACTCTTATGCTACTCCGCTGCATTCTGGCACGTGGCCTCACTGGATCTTCAAGAACTGCGTGCCGTCAGCGGTGGCTCTGGTGGTCCAACCAATGTCTGAAGAGCCCTTGACTTTCACCTTCAAACGGACATCTTCATTTGGTGTCTTTTTGTCCCACTCCAGGACCTCCAACTTCTGACCCACCGGAAGCTGCCGCAAAGCATTGCTCTCCTCCAAAGCCTCGGTGAGTGGCACTTCTCTGAGAACCTCCATGTTCCCATCTGAGACCGTGAGGTATTCAGTTCCATTGTTGCCTGTGATGGTGGCCCAGCCCTCAACGCCATCGAAAATTGCGCGGCATCTGACGCGCTGGATCTTGGCCGAAGCCTCCTCCACAGGACCTTCTAAGACCTCCACCAGCTCTTTGAGCTCCAAGCGACGGACCGTCTGACCTTCTTCAAGGCCTTCCTTGTCCGTGATCACCGTCTCAGCTGCCACGAGGTAGTAACTGCGGGAGGCCAAAAAGAGAGTGTCCTTGCTGAAGCCACTCCCAGGCTCGAAGAAATTGAAGACCTTTTCAATCTGCTCACCACTGAGTTTGCAACCTTCACAGCCTTCCATGAAAGTGGTGAAGTCGGAAAGATTGACCAAACCATCTCCATCCTTGTCGGCTTCCTTGAACAACTCTTCCGCACCTAGCTTCTTGGATCGCAAGAGCTTTGCCACCTCCACTTTGGCCAAATGGAGTTCCTTGGCCTCTTGCAGCTCCAAAAAGGCACGGCCACGCTCAGAAGCTTGAGTCGCTATTCCCAAACGAGCGTCCATTGAGCCCACCTGGCACGGACACAAACACGGCCAAAGACACCACTCTTCACTCATCACTGTTCGCTAAAGAGCTTGTCTTGTCTCACTGTGCACAATCGGATTCTATGTTGCAAAAAACAACCTATGTAACTTACATACACGTACCTCATGCCAACTCATGCCTTTCAATACACGTGTCAGGATTCGAGGTTGCTGTCCTGAGGCCCCAACCTTCAACTCCACCTTCCGGGTCTCCATCTGAGTCCACTGCTTGATGTCATCGTCTGCTGACCCTATAAGGTCTGCGAGGCGGGTTCGCACCTCTGACAGCTCAGTCTGCGCATCCTTGCAGGCAGAGCAAGCAGCCTCCATGGCCTTGGCAACGGCATCCTTGTCTGGAGTCGCACCCAGGTAGTCTTTGGACAAGTGCTCCACCTTCCCAGCTTCCTCAGCCTTAGCAACAGCAGGCTCCGCTTCTGTGAGGACATCCAAAACCTTTTGGATGTCAGCTTCAATAGCCTTCTTCTTGGCTTCCAGCGCCAAGCGTTTCAGCTCGGCTTCCTTTCTTCGAGCCTTGGAGGCTTCTTCCTCACGAAGAATACCAACAGCCACCTTGATGCGTTGGAAATGAGCCTTTCCAACACTGCCACGACCATCTCCATACTTCTTCACAACTGCCGCTGCAGCCTCCTTGCTCAGTGCGAAGGAGAACTCGCCCTTGGCATAGGCGATGATCTCATCCACTGTCATGACCTCCTTCTTGCCATTGTACTTCTCGAAGGCTGAGGTGCGCTTCTCCAAGGTCTTTGTTGCCAAGGTCTTTTTGATTGCCTTGTCAATCATCACCCTGGCAGAGATCGTTGAGGAGACCACGATCTTGTAGCACTCTTGGATGCGGCTCTGGAGCTTCAGCTGCTCCTCACGGATAGCGGCAAGCTGTGGCGGCTTCACAGAGTCAATGCCCACACGTCGCTCCACAATGAAGTCGGAGCAAACTTTGCAGGAGGCCTTCGCAGCAACTGACACCTCTCCAACAACTTTGCCAGCTGCCCGAGCATCTTCTTCACTCATGATCTTACTTTCGAGCACTGGGGCTGCCGCAGATTTCAGCTGGGCTGTGTCTTGTTCCGCCTTGTCAACGAGAAGGTTCAGTTCTGCCAAGACCTTCTTCACCTCCTCACTACGTTCTTGGTTTTGTCTTTCCTCCTCGGCCCGCTGCTGCTTCACTTGCTCCACTCGCATCTGTGCCACTTGAATTTGCTGCAAGGCCTCAGCTTTCACAACCTCCGCCTGACTTCCACATTTAGGCAGCTCTTGCATCACCAGCTTTTCAACCTCGTCCTTGATTTGGAGAAAGGTCTCCGGTGTGGCAGCAGAAAGCTTTTGCAGAATGCTCTGACAATTCATGATGCCCTGTTGCTCTGCACGGCGCTGCTGCTCTTGTCGCCGCTGCTCTTCTTCTCTTTGTTTTTGTTGCATCATCTGTTGTTGTTGCATCTGCTGCTGCTGCATCTGCTGTTGCTGGTATTGCTGCTGTGTCATTTGCTGCGATTGTTGATACTGTTGTTGGTAGCCAGGCTGCTGCTGGTATGCCTGTGCATACCCTTGCTGCCCATAGGCCTGGCCATAACCTTGCTGACCGGCACTGATCACAAACGTGGGATCCACAGCGCCATCATATGGGACTCTCCAGCCTGTGGATGGTGGTGTGGCACTCCTCTCGCTGTTGTAGGCCCAGACTTGGTCTCCTCCAACTTTCGGCCCAAACCACCAACCACAAAAGTTCGCACCATCGCGCTCATCCCAAAAATAGATCAGGACATCGAGCGTCGGGTTGTTTGCAACAGGCTCATTCTTTTTGTAGACTGGCCTCCCATGATTCTCCGTCTGCAAAGTGAAGGTGCCCCTGACAATGTTGCCCACTGTCGCATCAGCACAGCCTGTGACTGCTAGTGGCGCGGAGCCGCCTTGCTGGTACTGCGAATACTGCTGAGCAGCGGCGGGCTGCTGCTGTTGCTGTTGCTGTTGCTGTTGCTGGTATTGTTGGTACTGTTGGTATTGCTGTTGCTGCAGCTGCTGTTGCTGCTGCATTTGTTGCTGGTACTGTTGTTGGTACTGTTGCTGGTACTGTTGTTGCTGTTGCTGCTGTTGCTCAGGGGTCATCTGCTGCATCTGTTGCATGCCATATCCTGGCATCATGTAGCCAGCCATCCCAATTGTCTGAAGGAATCCCCTAGACTGCAAGTTTCTGTTCTACTGGCCTCTCGTGTTTGAGCCAATGCCACCTACAAGGATACTGTGAACAACTTGCGCAACTGACTGGACATGCAAACCTTCGAGCTACATCCAAAGTGCATCGAAGCGTCAAGACATGTCTACAACTTCGACAACTCACATGAAACACAGGCCGTTAATTCAAAGAAGCATCAGACTCGCTTCTGGAGAAAGTATACCTAGGCGCACGCTTCTGGCTGCCCAATTTGTCCAAATACCTTGCCACATGGCCCCAGAGACCACAGCGCAAACACACAAACGGAAATGCTTCCGTGGAGGTGCCCAGCCTCCCATATTGAAGATGGGGGCATGGCGGGAACATCGGCGTCTTCGCAACAAAGGGCTTTGCAGCAGGCTTTGTAGAGCTCTTGCTGGCATTGCGTGACATGCCACACCTCAGTTCACTGGGGCTCGTCTATTGCAAAAAAAGCTCAAAACCTCTCCCCTCCCGCTCTCATTTGTTCCAAGCTGCTCGTCTGAAGACGCAAAAGTTAAAATGCTCCAGAAGAGCCCTTCAGCTCATGGCACCCAATTGTGCTGCTGTTGGCAACTACACAGAATCGTGGAGATGGCTGCTGTTGATCAGGCTGCAAGCGCCAAAGACTCTCTAGTCTTGTGGCCTTCGTGCTGACTGTTGAGGTCTCTTGTGTGAAAATTGGTCCAACCGACTGGAGTGGAAAAGCAACGTCAAGATACATCTCAAGTGAGTTGGCCCCTGTGTAACCTGTAGGTCTCCCTGGTCTTCGAACTGTTCCATGCTGGGAGTCTAACTGCTGCAGAGCTTGTTCTGCTTCTTCACCAATGCCGGCAAGATGCCTGTCCCTGGCCTAGCATGACTCATGACATCAGCCTACAGGATCCTACAGGTGTCAAACATGCCTTCCTAAGAGCTTTCCTGTGAAGGACTTCCAATGTCCACAGCGCCTCTCTTTGTGCAAGCTGCTCTTTGGAACCACTGGAGGCCTAGGGAAGAAGGCATCTGGAAGGTATCTGCACATCTGAATGTACACAAGCAATCATGGGAAGACACCCACCCAGCACTTAGCTGCGCACCTGCGTTTGTGGAAGGCTAGAAGTTGTATCCTCGAAGCCGCCAAGGTCAGTAGCCTGCCATGGCAGCTTAGACAAAGGTCAGTGTGGAATGACATGGGTAGTTCACACCTTCGCAGTCCCATGAAAGGGGCTAGAGCCAACAGTCAAGGACCTTCAACAAACGAAATCATTCAACCCGTCATAGCTGCACGAACAGAACTGGGGCAGGGGCAGCGCATCCTTAGTAGGTCTGGCGAAGGTGTTCGAGGGCTGGTAGCTCGGCCTGGGCCAAACAAAAACAAGCAAATCCTTGCAAAGCTTCTGGCAAGAAGTTCGAGCCTTGCTGTCGCATCCGCTGGAGCCTGCAGGCCAGCCTGTGCAAAGAAGTCCTTGGTATCTGCGTTTCGCCACATTGTACTGAATGAGCAAACACATTGCAACATCATCCACTAGTGCTCAGGGACAGGCTGCCAAAAAGCTAAAGGTGACTACACGGTTCGACGAACGCAATGTGCCAACTTCCATTTCTATGGCCACCTTGGTGTCGAAGTTTCAGCAACACCAGGCTTGCAAGCCATCCTGCTGTCCCCGTGCCTCACGGCCAAACGCGATTGCCTGAGGCAGGTGGCTCACTTCCCAGGCACTAGACTCGCTGACGGGTGAGCTGTGGTTGACCAAAGTCTCCGCCTCTGTGAGCTGATGTATGATAGCCCTGAGGCCTGCCAGCTGAGCGATACAGGTCAAGCAAGTTGAGACAGTGTGATGTCTTGCGATCGGTTGAAGGTCTCGACTTTTATGGGACAAGCTCTGGCACTCTGCTGACAGCTTGGAAAAGGTATGAGTTGTTAAAGATCTGTACAGCTTAGCCGAGAGAACGGCTGCTCTTTGCCCCTCCATTTTGAGACGCGTCTTGGCAAAGCACAAGCTCTCACAGCTCGCGGGGAGCCCCCGGGCCTGCGGCAACTAAAAATACTCGCGTTCTTTGCGACGAAGGCAATCAGGAAGCAAATGGCAACGTATGGCGACAACAAACCAGAGCTCCTTTCAAGACTGCTGTGAGCGCAGCAATTTCAGTGTCCAGCTCAGAGAACTTCTGCAGCCCCTCCTGCTGCGAGGGAAGGTACAAAAGAGACTGAAGGCCGTTGTGACGTTGTGGTAATTCTTCATATGTCTGTTGATCTCTCTGGATTTTCAGGGCTCCTCAAAACCATGCAAGCCTTTTCTTCCCTGGTTCGCTCCGAGTAGCAAGCCAAACACCTTCAAAGAAAGAATATGAGCAAACATGCGGGAAGCCATGGTCTCCAGCCTAATAGCGATGGCCTCCAACCTAATAGCGATGGCCTCCACCCAAGTAGCGATGGCCTCCACCCTAGTAGCGATGGCCGAGCAAGCATGCGATAAGTGAATTCACATCACCAACCTGCCTCATTGCGATGAACATTCTCACCACCCGCATTGGCCGAGGCCAGGAGAGCTTCGTTTGCGTTGCTGGTTCCATATTTGTACGCGAAATGAAGCCTTGCAAGAAAGAAAGCTAACAAAGGACACTGTCTGCTATCCAGCCTCCGGAATCATAAACTCTCATTCCACGAACAACTAACAGTGATCATGCGAATCAACATCCGTTGACACAGGCACAAGGATCTTGCAAGACCTTGCTGGAGATTACACTGTCCATTAAAGTCATATCCCTCGCACTGCCACTCTCTTTTCACCCTCCGCATCTCCACAGCGCAGCGAAACACAGAGCCTGGAAAAATCCACACACATGTGTTTGCCGTGTGTGGAAAGTGGGCCTTACGCGCATAGCAGAAAGAAGGAAAGACTGAAAGCTACTGACCACTTTCCTGCCTGCTGAGGAGCTGTCCGGCTGAGAGGTGAAAACAGCTCCAGCATGAGCAAGGGGAAGGGGTGATCCGTCGATCCTCAGCTTCGACTGGACTCCAAAAGCAAAAGATCAAATCTCGTTGACTCATGGAGGACACCGAAGAACAGAACCAACCTGTTGGAGCTGGAGTGCTCCTAAGTCTGACCAAGCTCAATGCACATGTTCCAAGTTTCCGGGGGTTGTTGCTTGGATTTGAGTGCAGCTTCCAGGCGAAGATGGCAATCAGCTCGAAATTTAGCCTCGTGGATTCAAATCAAACCAACAACATCCCTATGTATGTGTATGTGTAGGTGAACATATATGGGTAGACTTGTGCATCTTTTGCAAGTTCATATGCACGAGCCTCTTGCTCCTTTGCAATGCCCGCAACTGCATCTTCCAGTGGCACAGCTTTGGCCACGTATAGCGCTTGCAGCGCCAGTGTTGGGCAGCCACCAAGCCTTAAACGTTGGAAAACTGTGGACTGTGCGTGAAATACCTTCCACGATTTGAGGAACCGAAAGAAACACACAGCCACCATCTTGCAAGTGAGGAGCCAGTTTGAGATGCCAAAAAGTGTGCGATTTGCTTTCACCACTTCTATATTGCCGAGGTCGCCAGCTGCCGCCTGCTCCCCGCTGGAGCGGTACTTGGCCTTTCTGCATCGACTGGCCACCCGTCCCACGTCCCAAACATGTCAAACATGGCTGCAGACCAAGGGGCAAAAGCCACCCGCAGCACAGCTTCACATCTCACTGCGCTTCCTTCACAATATGGTAGAACCTCCTGCTCAATCAACAAAAATGACTGACGCCCACTTCGAAGAGTCTGATGACAGGTGCTGGACACGAGTAAAGTTACGCCCAGGACGCTTTGGCATCGGTTTTGGCGATGGGATGACAGAGATTCTTTGGCGTTGGGGCACGTTCCTTCTAAATGCAGTTTTTAAGTTCAACAATAATCAAACCATGCGTCCTGGTAATTACTAAAGATATCTAAAGATTCACTGACACAGTCGCGTCGCCTGAATGTCAGTCCAGGAGAAGCCACGAGATACCAACTGGCGCGTTGCCTCGCACTGACGCTTCTGCATGTCATGCTCAAGCTGTTCATTGCGGCGGTTTAACCTCAGCTTCTCGTGAAAAGTATGGTCTTCCTTCTGACGTGAGTAAAACACAACTTCTCAGAGCATCGAACAGGTTGACACCATATATCTTCAATTGAAGACTTCTCATGACTTCTGCTGTCTTCACTCCAAGTTGCTCCGCCTCTGCAAATGAAAGCAGTTGGCGTCGCCGGCGTGCACTTCCCAACCGAAGGCATCGCCGTGATTCATGTGTTTCATCATGCTTAAGCAGCGCCAGCAGTTCGGCATCAATTGTGGCCAAGGATCGAACAGCTTCCTCTTCATCTTGTTGCTTCAAAGCACGTGCCAAATGCCAGTCAGATGGAAAGCCGTGGCATGGGATGCAAAGAAGGTCTGACAAACCAGGTCCATCTTGCCAATGAACCGGCACTGCAGGGTCATGATCCTTTGGCAAATAACATATAGTGCCCAGCTGAGTCCCAAAATTTGCCTCATCTACTGTGAAAAAACACGATCCAGATGCACCAGGTGCCAGCAGCTTGGAGAACTCAGAGTGCACTTCTCGAGACGTACCTTGCGCCGCCACAGAGGCACATCTTCTCAGATTGATCCGGAAGCACGCATTCAGAGACAACAACCAGAGGAAGTTTCGATCCTGAAAACTGGGATCCTGGATGGACAGCAGCGTCCCACGCCGTGGATCGCGTGCACCACCGCTCTCTGGGGAACAAACCGGAAGGACCGGCCCCATGCGATTGGTAAACTCTTTTGGGTGCTCTCTTGCGTGGAAGAGAACTCCAAGATCAACGCCGTTGGAACTCATAGCATGGGAGAAAAGGACCATATGCCCTTAGATGCACATGTAGCACCTGCGGAATCCGACTAGAAGATTCTGGTCACCACCTTGTGCTAGCAGCTAGCACTTGACGCCAATTTTGACGAGATCTGCTCTGGCTATCAGGATTGAGAGATTTCTGATGCATATTGATGTCTTATTTCTCATATCCAAGGCAAGGGGATGCGTGGAACAATAAAAATACCATAAGCTGCCATGCCAAAACACCATGGTAGAGGTCCCATCCTGAGTCGGTGGGACAAGAAAACGGAAACATTCCGCACTCGCTTTGAGGGCTCTGAGATGGCCACCACACAGCTGAAGTCCAGCTGCCCTCGCCAGCTCGGCAAAGATCTGGGCCATGAAGGTCGCCACACCTGGAGATGCAAAGTGAAGAGCCAGGCTGGCTCCAACGTATGGCCTCAGCAACTCTCCAGCGGGTTTAAGCACAGGCGTAGGTGTCAAGTTGCCAAGTTCTAAGAAATCGCCCAAAAATCCTCCTGGAAGAGGCCAAGTGGCTCTTGCAGAGATGAAATGTTGGCCTCCTGTGCGTATAGCGTGTGGTCAGCAAAACCCCGTAGTTAAGGCAAATCAACACTAGTAATCGCAACCTGTCACATCGACGCAGGGAGACCACAAAAATTTGGACCGGAGCAATGTTACACCACATTGGACGCCGAAGCGGGCTCATTGGCAAGCAAACATTGATGCCATAGTGCGGATTGGCAACATGCATCATGGCATTGTGTCACCAGCCTAATTCGGACTGGGAAGGTGCATCAGGGTACATTGACAAACACGAACTGTTCTGTGCATCGTGCAGTCCTGTTAAATCTACAGCTGGAAGGCCATATGCCCTCCAAATTACCTACGAGACGTGCATCAAAAGCGGATTCTCTCATACATTGATCTGCCTCCGTCGTAGCGGGCTTCCTCCATCCCGCTGGATTTGCCAGGGCGTCCGTTGAGCTTCTGCTTTTGGAAACCAAGGGACTGGAGTAGGCCCTTGCACCGAGTATGTGCGATAGACACCATGTGAAATGCCTCGTTGCATGTGCACCCACGAGTTGTGAGCTGCTTTGCCTCGCAACAGCGCTACATTTGGGTCTCCCACACGCATCGGCACTGGAGGTGTCATTGGCATTGGTGGAGTTGAACAGGACATGTAGGTCCCGGGGTTAGCGGATGTCGTTGACAATGTTGATATTCCTTGTAACCTGCAAACCTCCAAGCTGTGAGGCTTCATGTACTCTTGCACACACATGCCCGGAGCTGGAGACCAGGTTTGTGGAGCTCGGGCTGGGCTGGGCACAGGCTGTGGAGCTGTGTTTTCATGTTTTTCAGTCTGCAGGATCTTCTCGGGAGTTTTCTCCGGAGACTTCTCCAAAGCCTTCTCTGGAGTCTTCTCCGGAGCCTTTTCCTTTTCGTCATCTTCCTTTTTCTTCTCCGGTTGCAAAGTGGGCGTGAAGTTGCAAGGTGTCAAAGCTGCACGAGGAGGTGCTGCTGGTGCTGTTGCATTAGACACACTTTCAGACTCTTTCTGATCGTTCTCTGGCCCTTGTGCTGGTGCCTCTAGTTTGTCTGGCTTTTCTTCAACGCGGATTCGAGCACTGAGGTACCCAGAATTTGGAGATCGTTCATCCGCCTCTGCAGGATGCGGGCTCAAGCGAAAGGACCCAAGACCAATGGGCACGACAGGTTGAGACCGCCAAGCCTGGCCGGGACTGGCTGTTGGACATTGGTGCGAACCACTCACTGGTGTCCCATTGTTTGTCTTTACAGCTTGAGCTTGGAGGATCTTGGTGTAGGTCTTGACCCAGGATGTAGGTGCTGCCACTGAAGCTTCGGACTCAGGACGAGGTTCTAGTACCTCGCGAAAGCTGGGAGGTACGGATCTTCCCACGGGAACACGTAAGCTACGTGCTGTCCAAGCTGGAGAGGCTACAGCAGCTACAGCTACATGCTGCGCATGCTGCTGCGCTTGCTGCCTTGCATCTGCATCTTGTGATGTTGCACGCAAGCGCTTTGCTGATGCACTCCTGCGAACCTCCGGGACGACCTGAGCGGCCTGAGATGTCTGAGGCGGCACCACACACTGCGGTGGCATTGTCTGAGGCCTGCATCTTGGTGCTCCCACCTTGCTTTGAATCAGCTCCAGGGTCTTTCGCACGTCACTGCCAGGTGAGAAATAAGCGTCATGAACGTGGGTTGGCTCGAACTTTGCCGGTGAATTTGGATTTGACGTTGCAACTCCTCAGTGCAGCCGGTGCAAGGCCAACTCATCATCTTTCAGCAAGGAGGCATATGATATGGCCACAATATGACAATTGTAAGGCCTCCCCTTCCAGTACAAACTGCTGGCTGAGCCTCGTGATCGCTCCGGGCTCCTGCAAACAGATTGCAAAAATTAGATACGGAACAATTTATCAGTAGCTTCTTGTTCCTAGTAGTAATGGCCTCCAACCTAATAGCGATGGCCTCCAACCTACTACTATAGTTCTTGTTCCCAGTGGTAACGCCATGAGCTACTAGTGAATGATTCTAAAACGTGTCAGTCATATCATATCTGTGTGGTTCGTCCTCCTACTTGCCTACAGGTTTGTGCGGTGCGAGAGGGCAACTTAAATAGCACACGCATTCAACATATTCCTACTAGACTATATGCATAACATGTTCCAATGTTGCTTCAAGAATGCATCAAATTGCTGCTTCTGCATCGTAATCTCCTCGCAGCCTCTGCATTTTGCAATCGGATGCCTGAGGCGTAGCTGGCAAGATTCACCCAGTCTAGGCGAGGAGTCTACGAGTGTCAGAGTCGAAACCTGGCTGAGGCGACAACCTCTCAAATAGTCTGGCAATGGAACCTTGGGGCTGCTTTTGCCACCTTTTCTCTGCTTTGCGAGCTGTCCCTGTCAAGGGCCAAGGCAAGGCAACACGACAAAATTCGCAAGTCAGTAAGGAACACATTCGGAGCCTTCAAGTATTCCATGGCTGCATCTGTTTCACACCTAAGTAGGGGCACGCCTAGAGTCTAAATCCTGTGACATGTCTCGAAAATTGAGAATTGCCCGTAAGGCAGCCGCCGAGGCTTTGCCTTTCGCACGGCGGGCTTGTTGTGCTGTTCCTTCAGGTACGTCATGGCGCAGTCCTCTGCATCCTCGCCATGTTGGGATGGTTTCACATGTTTCACCGATTCTCTGCACGAGATTCAAAAAGTGTGCAAGGCAGTCCTCTGGCCCCGCCATGGCTCTAAAAGAGCGAAGGATCAAGAAAAACTGCGCTCGCTCAAGAATGAGGTTGGTGTCATGTGGTATCCATCATGTCCACATCATTGTGTTATGTTGTGTTGTTGTTCGGGTTCTTAGGCTGCAACACACTGACATGGCAACTTTCGTGAAAATGTGCACGTCTTTTTGATGCTGGAAACGGTCACGGCGAGGTACTAGCTTCAAAATCTTCACTATGAGCAAGCCAAATCATTTTAGACACCTTCTTTCCAGATGAAAAGTTCTATATAAATCCAGTGAAGCTCTTCCTCTGCGAACAGCTCTGCAGCTGCATCTGTGGGATTACCCTCTGCAGCCAGTTCCAAATATGAGCACAGCTCCTGGCACGCACGAGTGCAAAATTGCCGCCGTTGTCTGACAATGATTCGGCCTTGGGAACCGGTTGATTGTGATGCACCAGCAAGCTCAACTCATCAGTTGCCTGCACATCAGGACTGATCTACGAATCCAAGGAGGCTGCAAGCTTTGAACGGGAAAACCCATGAAAGTTCTCTAGAAGGGCAACAGTGGCACCGTCTGCCCGCCTCTCCGGAATATGCGGAATCCAGCAGCTGTGCCGCGGCATTTGTCAAACGATGCCGCATTGCTTCAAGGACTTTGAACACAAAAAAAGTCCGCTGACGACAACCCAGGACATGCCATACGTGTGAACGCTTGCGAAGAGTTGCACTTGGACAACCTCCGTTGCAAAAGTACCGGCTCTATATCTTGTAGGGAGGACTCCAAGGTATGATAAGGACAAGGTATGTATAATATATATATATATATGTGTGTGTGAGAATATATATATATATATATCTACTTAATATTATGTATTTTAGATATTATACAGTATATTATATGTATGTAATTGTATGTATGTGCGACTGCCACACATGGCTGCTGCTGCAGGGCATCCTGTGCATCAGAACAAGTTTTGCTCAACCCCCTGAGCTCCACACAGTGCAGGGAACGAACCGCCAATGTAACATGCCACGACCTCAGAATGGTGAACTCGTAGCACTGGAAGTGAAGTGAAACAACCAAGGCCACGTTAAATTCTTAGAGGGATGAAACAAACGCAGGAAACGAACAACATTCGATGCTAGTGGCCGGATCATCTCGTGCGCGGACCGCATTCTTGAGGTCACTGCCATATGCCTGCCATTCTTGAAATTTTACCATACATCTTTAAGCACCTCTTGGCACTACAGTTCTTCCCGCATTGGCCTCTTGGGCAACTTGTGCCGCAGCATCATTGATCGGGGTCTTGTGCAGAATCTGGAAAGTGGGTTAGAAAAAGCATGGCAGAAGCTGCACACAATTGACTTGATGACGAAGGTGGCTCATCCGAGCCTTTGAAAGGAAGGTCGCCATAATGTGCAGGTATTGAGGCAGCACCTGGGATTTGACAGCCCATGTCCGCCATCACCCTCCACAAGGATCCCCTTCTCTGCGGTGTTGACTTTGCCCTCATGATGTCTCATGATGTCTCATGCCTCCACATCTAACCTCCATGCCATGATGTCTCATGCGGTTGAGGCACACTGGACGCACGCGTCACCGCTAGTGCCTCTGTCGCCTGTCTCGTGGCTTCTTCCACGCTCTCACCACGCGCCAAGGTTGCGAGGGCCACCACACTCGGAAGGACCAAGCCATCGATGGTGTCAACGTTGTGACCATCGTTGTCCGGACACTCTGCTGGTGGCACCCCAGATCTCCACTTTTCAAAGAACATTCGGTGACAGGTGGAGGCATATGTGTCATTGTGGCTCCCTGGAGTTGTCATGAATTTCACGTAGCGCTGGCGAAAGTCTTCTGCACTGAAGCGCCCCCCAGTGCTTGTAAGGCTATGCATCATCTCTCGGACCAGCATCGCTTCTAACGTATTTTCTCCTGCACTTAGGGTATGATGGTAGTGAAACTGGCCACCTCTTCTCCAATACTGTTTCTTGTCATGGAGGATGACCCCTCCCACCACATCTCCCTGGTCACTGCCCCGACCACCGCCACCAGTGTTGCTCAGTTGCATGATCGAATCAGGAAATGGATGGACAGATTTTTCGAACCTAGATAGGAGCTGTCCACCGAAGTCATGGCGGATTTGATCTGGGCCACCATAGTACCAGTGCCTCAGGAGAACGTAGTGCTGGGAAGCATCATTCGTACAGTCCAGCCACCAACCACATGAAAGCAAAGTGCATGAAATGATGCAATCCACAAATGCCTCTAGTGCTCTCCAACAAGACACACTGGCATGGCCAAAGCATCGCCGACAAAAAGGCCCCACAGCGCGCCAGCCACTCGGTCTGGCACTGACAAGTCGGGCGACCGAGATGTTGCTGGCGGCACTGATGCCCTGGCGGTGTACTTCAGGAGCAATAGCGCCTGCAGAAAAAGTGAGAGATCGCAGCTTGGACGTGTTAAATCACGTGAGAAATGGCCAAGCTCGGCACAGTCAAGCCCCACACTTGACATCGCATCCCCATGGCTGGGCACCACGTGAAGAACTAAGCTATGATCGGATATAAGAAAACACAAAACACAAATAGAATGTCCTCAAAGCAGCACTGCTAGTTTGTTGCACTTTTGAGCCCTGGCGTTTGTCGCACTCACAATGCAAGTACTTACATTAATGTACAATTTGTTTGCTCGACTTGGCTGCATGATTGCTGCTACACGCTTGATGCATCAAAGCCGCAGCCAAAAGGTGACAAGCAAGTGCAGCTGCACACCATTGAAAGGAATCTGAGCCCCAGGCAAATGAAAAGCCTGTCTTTGGTCAAACCTTCCGAAAATCTTAATGCGCACTTGCCTCAGGTGTCATCATAGCCAGTGAAGCACGGCCAAAGCACAAGACTTATATATATATATATACACACATGTTACAAGGTGAACAACATGGTGCAGATCCAAGAAGCTGAAGTTGAACCTGGCACTGCATCAGCATCCAAGCAGTCTGTATTGTTTGCTAAACCATGTGATTCTGACATTTGCGATTGCGTTCCAATCACTAGGCCGCCAGCTCCTCTAAGAGAGTCAAACCTCATGATCAATGAGAGATCTATAGAGTCTTGAGATGTCTTGAAGTTCACGGGAATAGGACAGAAGTGGAGTCACGTGTTTCCAAGCACAACACCTGCCGTGAGCTAAATCGTAGGCGCCTGACTCTGGACAGGTGCCTGAATCTGCGATCGCGGATCAGCTCTGCAACTTCGGGCAAAAACCTAACGGGGCTCAGCTGGCACAAGCTGAGCAAATGACCTAACGGTCCAAACGGGCCCCAAGAGTGACAACATGTCTGCCTCGGAGATGTTGAAGTGTGGCCTTCCCAAGAGTTCCCACTCGAGCATGGTTGATCCATCTCATTGCGCCGTAAACAACTCGCCTCATTTGAGCTTGATGCAGCCCTTCCTCCACCTGACAAAATCACAAAGCCCTTGTGCTGACACTCTCTCTTGCTCTGGCACCCAGACCTTCCAGCCAATTCGGCAAAAATTCCTTGAGCGTCCAAAACTCACATGTGTGAAACTACAACAGCATCATTCACACTGCCGCCAAAGTTTGGAGCGAGTTTCGAAATGTTCAAAGTCTGCTTCTTTCCGAAGACTTCTGAGATGTAGCGATTGAAGGCATCCCAGGCCTTCGCTGAAAGTAGCCAACTGCTAGTAGGAATGAAATTTCCCGGACAGCATTGGCCCTTCGCTGCTCTACTTGCACGATTTCATACCTTCCCATATTCACACTCACTTCCAACCTGAGGCAATTCATCAGCGCTTCGCTTTGCGAATGCTTGCTGATAGCTTGCCGCATCTGCCAGTAGGTGCTCAGCCTTGAACAAATGATGCAAAAAGCCTGGCCGCCTGGAACAAATGGTCCAACATGCACTGGGCACTGGACCGTGTACATTCGCAGGGCCACGGCAGTGTTTGCCACGCGGCCAAAGGAGCGACATCTGCACTGCTGGAGCCGAAACACAAATTTTCAAGTCAAGCGCCACCATGGACTGCACCATGGACCCCAAGCCCCCTTCCTGGCCCATGTGCTGCTGATCCCTTCCAAGCTGGCCCTCTTTTCCCGGCATTTCAAGCAGAGCTGGTGGGAGGGGAGTGCCTTGCTTGCACTCCCCTGTTTAACTTGGAGGTCGGGCCTCTTCTCTGCATGGTGTGGTGTCTGCCGTCTAAAGACGGTCACATATGTCTGCTAACTTTGCCTGCATTGTGTGAAGAAAATGTTCCTTCATGGTCTTCAGACGAAGACAGATTCTGCCGGCTTGAAAGGGACCCCATGGACTTGGGCTGTCCGAGCTCCCTCGCTCACTATCTCCTGACAAGTCATCCAACCCAAATTCACGAAGACACGCCATGCTCAGAAACGAATACATTCTGTGCACCTCATGAGGATGCGCTTTTGTGACTTTTTGCTCTTTTTCTCTTCTCACCTCATCATGCTCGGAAAAGAAGCAAGTCAGCAAGGTCAAATGGCCGCAGCGCCCGGCAACTCCTGTTCAATCTCAGTCTAAGAACAAGACCTTTCTTGCTTTTTTTCTTACCTCAGATGCGGGTTCTTTGCGCTCCCTTGGGACCAAGCTGCTTAGCTCCTTAGCTCTTCGCGCACTCCTTCTTCCGCATCTTCATGTTCATCCTCTTTGTGTTTTTTCCTTGGTTCAATTTACAAGACTATCAACGAGCCCCAAACAAAGAAAGCTCTGAGACCCATGCTTTCTGCTTTTCTTGGCCTGTTGGTGCTCAGCAATCGCCAAAACAAACGGCTAGCGGCTAGTGTGTCAGGTCATGGACGAGCAAATGTTGCAAACATGGCACCTTGTCTTTATCTTTCTTCTTTTTCTTCTTGTGGCCTTGCAACAGCGGCGAAGCCCAACCAAAATTGCCACCCTCACTCCGCGTGTGCCCATTGCTCCAAGCCTACACCATCAAGGTGCTCGACAAAAATGTCGAAGCACTCCTTGCGGGTCTTCGCATCAACTGCCTCGCGAGTCATAGGCAAGCTTGTAAGAATTGATATTCCAAAACATCGCACCTTCCAAGCTGGCTTCTTGCTGAGCAAAGACTCTGCTTCCTCTCATGTCAAGTTGTCATACAAGTCACCTTGCGCAAGCAGCCATTGGCCTCGTATGTAGTCCTGACGGAGATTGCCTTTGTCCTAAGTCGCACGCTGCACAACGAAATGGTCCGAGATCTCATGAAGTGATATGTCTCCGTTTCTATACAGTAGCATTCTTTGTGAGGATGGTGTCTCAAGCCAATGGAAAAGAACACGCTCATGCTAGGTGCAGAACTTCATCAAAAGATCGACAAACCTTTCGCGTGGAGGGCACATGCCAAAATGAATACAGTAATTGAAGCTGGGTTTGCCAATGGCGCTGAGCCACGCTTCCCTTGACTCCCCGTCATCTCTATCTCCTCAGCCACCAACGTCCGTTGGCACGCAAAACAACACCGCCAAGGCCAGACAAGTCTGGGGAGCGCGCCATCCTCTTCTTCTTCGTCCTTATCTTCTTCCTCCTCCTTTTCCTCTTTGTCTTCCTTTTCTTCATCTTTATCCTCTTTGTCTCCATTTTCCGACCTCGCTTGGCGAGGCATCCTTTGCCGCAATGTCCAGCAATCACTGAGCACAAGGCTTTCTTCGCAGATCGGGCCCTCCGCCTGCATCACCATCTGCTTGCCTGCAGCGACTCCAGGGCCAGGCTCTACAACTCATGCACAGGGAATTGCAAAATCTTTGTGCTCACAGGTGTCACCTTAGATGCAAATTGCAGAACCTTCATGCACCCTTTCCGCTTCGGCGACATTGTGTCATGCAGATCTTTATGGTGGCAGTGGCGCAAGAGCGCCGAACGTGCCGACATTTGTGATGAACCACCCTCTCTCAAACGTTCTTGAGATGTAGCATGATGTAGCTAAAGTCTGCACTCTTTATCGCACAGCATCTGGGCCCTCTCCAAAGCCTTTCCCCACTGCTCTCAGCCGTACCCGGAATTCGGATATTGCATCACTGGCAGCAGCTCAACGGGCTCTGCTAGATTCCCAGACAACTGCGCCGTTAAACCTTTGTTGCACTTCATATCGCTCACTAGTATCAACACAGGTGACTATTGAACACTGCGAAAACTCCTGGCATCAAGCTGAATATCGTCACATGGCAATAGATCGAGGCTATGACAGCTACGGGCTTCAAGCAACCCAAAACCGGACGTGGAAAACACTTGCGGCTGCAGAGCCGTGGAAGTGGCAAAGAAGCCAACTATGTATGTTCGAAACTTGTAGATGGCAATAAGCATCTGGCAAGCAGCCGCATATCGTGCACATGCTAGAGCTCACCCTGCATTCTGAAGCCCTTCTGTCGAAGCAACTCGGGAATCTGACCTTTGCGCAGTTGTGAAGTTCTGACATGGGCATGTGGATTCTTGAACCCTTCTCGTGAGCACACCATACATGTGCACAGCATACGTGATTGAGGCGGGGACTGTATGAGTATTGCGTGAGGTCTATTCTCTCCTCACGGCACAGGTATCATCAACCAACAATGTACATAATAATGATGATGTTTGGTTCCGTTTGGAGTTTGGATTGCAAGCCCGCACCTTCTCATTTCCATTTTCAATGACCACAAGGTCAGGATTGTGCCCTTGGATCCACCGAACCTGACGCATCTTTCTCTGGCAAACAACTTCAGAACCAACAATTCCCTGGAGTTTTTTCAGGCATCCTGGCCCTGGCCTCAAGATTTTGCCATTCCTTCCAGCGTTGCTCTTCTTTCAGCCAACGTCGTACGTCAGTGAAATGATTCAACTTTCAGCCTCATTCGCTGGAATCCGGAAACCCCGCACATGGTTTGCATCCCGAGCTCCCAGGAAGATTTCGCTTCCCATGCAACCAGATCAATAAAATTCAATAAACACTCAACTCCATGTGAAAGATCTCACCTAGAACCCCCAGAAGCCCTTCTTTGTGGAAGAGCTGAGCATCGTGCCCTGGCAGGACATAATCATGCCTCAGTCGGCGTGCGCTTCAAGCTCAAGAAATATCCTTGCTCAATCAGCCCATGCCAAACACCCAAAAGACGCAAGCGTTCTGGCAAATTTGGCCTAGTGCAATTGATTAATGGCTTCTAGACTAATCAAGAGACAGGCTGCCCTTTGATGCTGGCTTTGATTGAGCTGCCACATCTAGCATTGTGCAGCCTCTCTCTTCGCAGTGCCCGTCCTGAGAAAATCGGCAAAGCATAGCCAAACCCACAAGCATTCCTTGAACAACTCTGACCTAATTACTACATATTACTACAGTAGTGTTCTTCGCATCTTTGCATGCCAAGCTAATCCTTCAAGTTTCCAACCTTCTTTTCTGCCAAGGGGCGGCATCACACGCCTTTGCCATGCAAACTTTGCCATCTTCACTCCTCGCCTGGGAGGACGGACGAGAAACAAGACGTTGAAAGCATCGAAAGCGCAGCATCCTGTAAGGTCATGCGGGCCTTGGCCTCTGCCAAGCTGAAGCTGAGGATGAGAGCAAGGGCCTTAGATGTGGCCCATGCAAATGTTGCAAGGCCTTCTCTCTCTCTCTCTCTCTCCCCACAAGCCATTTCACACACCCCTCACCTCTCCTCCAAACAAACACCTGTTGCCTCATATTCCTGCCAAGGCTCTCCCACTTTGAGAGTCCTTACTGCCATGGCTCCAATCCTTCTTGAGCCAAATGGCTGAGTTTTGGCTATGGAAGCAACACGGTTGTTTCGTTGCATCTGGAGACAATGCTCAGCTTCTGGCCCATCACGCTTTGGTGGTGCCTTGGGATAGGTTGGATTACATCGGATGCCACCAGAACCAGCATGGCCAAGCAAGTTCATTCCAAAGTACTCCCACATCTGGCTCGTCAAAGCTAAGCTTCAGCCAGGCCTTAGGAGTCTAGCTGCCAACTGGTGTGCAGAATTGCCGGAGTCTTTATGAGTTGAAAAGGAAATGCCAAAATGAGCTTTATCAAGATACAAACTGGATCTAAACTTAATCTAGGCTATGTCTCCGATCTGGCTTCATTGAAAAGAGAGATGAAAGGAGACTCTCTGGTAGCCGCATGAGCTGCAGACCCGGTCTTCCGGGGTCTGGTTGAGCTTCAGCTGCAAAGGGACCTCGAGAGTCAACGCTGTCGGCCTTGAGCTGCTCAAGTCTCCATGTGCAAAGCAGGCGACATCCTTCCGCACCTTTTTCCCCAGTAGGCGCACAGCGGCCGTTTAACATGTTCATGAGATTGATCCGAGCTAAACAGGTCATTTTGGGCCATTTTAGCCTCAAATGACATGGAAATCGGCGCTTGCCCCGGCTCACTCTTTGGGTTCTTTCTGAACTGGCTCGCCATTCGCCTGCAAGTGATCTCGTGGACACCTCTGAACACCGGTTGAACCAGGCTTGACTGGTCCAAGAGGATGCTTCATGCTTTCTTACAAGTTCCTCATTTCGTATCATTTTCTGTAAACTGTGCGTTTGGAACATCGGTTCAGAGCGGCTGCCTGGACTTCCATGCCTTGATCGTTCACTTCAATCCTCAATGCTCAAAAGTAGTTACTCAAATAGAAACTGAAAATAGAAATAGAAGAATAGGAAATGGGAATGTCTCCCACATATGCGGGCGGGCGGCAGTGCTTCGGGCCCTCCCTTCTGGACCAAATACCTCACCGCAATTTGAGGATCTGACACAAAGGCAAAGTGCCATCGTCATTATCAATCTTGACACAGAAAGCAAGCAAAGCAAAGCAATCACCACAAAATAGGAAAGCCAAAAGACGTGTATGTATAGAGAATATGTAAAAGGGTGAGAGCCTGCAATCAATCCCCAAACAGGCAACTAGATGCAAAAGCCCATCCGCCCGATCAAACGTTCCCCACCCCTCAAGGTGGGGTGCTCTTCATCCTATATAAATCACCTTTGTAGAGAAGCAAGCCAATGAAGAACAAGGACAACACTGACACAAAAGCAGACCGGGCAAAAGCCTCTTTGACATGGCCTTGCGGAAAATGTTTGTCTGTCCTTTCTTGCTTGGTATGCATTGTCAACAAATTCTTTGAACTTCCAGCCTGCTTCTGCACTAGGTTACAATAGCAATCATACTAAGCTACCAAAACCAAACATGGAAGTGGACCTCGTCTCTCTTTGGGAGAGTACCCTGAAAGGGCTGTACACACGGCCACATTGAGCAAGAACCCGTCGGGTTCACTGTTCTAAGGACTATATAGGTGATGGAAGCGAAATGAGAAACTTCCAAGGCCCAGGGCACATGGAACCGCCCATTACTTGCCCACTTATATATATATATAATATATCCCCTATAGTAGCTTTTTGTTCCTAGTAGTAAGGCTAGGAGCCCCTAGTAGCGTCCTCGCTCCTAGTAGTGATGCCAGGAGCCCCTAGTAGCTTCTTTTATATAATTTATATATGTTTAGCCGTTTAGCCCAGCTGCACATGATAATTCTCCGCATCTGCCTCCTTGCAATCTGTTTGACTCTTGGGTACACAATCGCAGGCACCATCCACGACGCCAAAGTCAAAGTAGTTGCCACATGACTCGTCGGCTAACACGTACCTCAAAAAGTATACAATGGAGTGGGCCAGTCGCAACTCTTGGAGCAAGTCTACACGAGTCTTTGAACCAAGGCTCTCAAAGCACGCTTTTGTCTGGTAATTCCCCACATTCTTCTTGTAACCAGCATTGGCATTGGCCTAAAATCTGAAGGCGTGGCGCTTCAGGAAACCAACCATATGGGTCCTGACTTCCAGCCAGGAAGCACAATACTTGTTGCTGGAGACCAGGGTAAAGTAGAAAGTTGTGCCCGAGGTTGTCCGAGTCGGCTCAGCTCTAGAGACAAGGCTGGCATCCCTCCTGCAAGGGTCTCTGAATATGAATGGGCAACAGCCCCAAGTCACCATGCCCAGCCTGTTCCTTCTGTGGAATTGCGTGCGTCTTTCTGTGCTCTGCTGCGTCGCCTGTGGGCAAAAGCAATTTGGCTGCCACTATAACATTGTGAGCATCCAAGAACACACTCTACAAACAGCCTGCCTCATGTGAGCCCGCTCCACCTTCAAAGCTCAAGGAAGGACTACAGACCCCACAGTTTGAAATCGAGCATTCCCCACTGCGTGCGTACTGGCATCTGTGTAAAAGCGGAGTACAGAGTGCATAGTTTGGGCTGGCCTACACAAGACCAAAAGAAGTACAGTATCTAACTTCACATGCACACATCGTCAGTTGAGGGGTGGCTAGGTAGCTCCAGCCTCACCAGTCCTAATGAAGGATATATCGTAAACTGGCACTTGGAAATACTACTAGCTTCTCCCTGACATGGTCAGCTCCAACCACTCCGCAGTAATTACTCTTCGATCGCCTGCTTCTGCTTCGCTCTCAGCTGGCTCTGGCACTGCACTGTTTCCTTCTTGCATCCCGGTCCCAGCTGTGCTGTCCTCTGTGCTGGCAGCAGTGCTTTCAGCTGCACTATCAACCGTGCTGCCACCAGTGCCGTCGGCTGTGTTGTCTGCAGGGTTCGGGATGGCGCTGCTGCCATCAGCCGTGCTGTCTGCAGGACTATCAGCCGCTCCTCCACCGGTGTTGGCGATGTTGTCTGCAGGACTAGCGGCTGTTCCTCCGCCCGCGCTGTCAGCCACGCTGTCTGCAGGACTGTTGATAGCCATTCCTCCACCAGCGTTGGCAGTGCTGTCTGCGGGACTGTTGGCTGTTCCTCCGCCATTGCTGTCGTCTGTCCTGTCTGTGGGGCTGCTGGCTGTGTCTCCACCACCGCCGGAAGTGCCATCTGTAGGACTGCTGTCACTAGCACTGTCGGGTGTGCTGTCTGTTGGACTACTCCCAGCAGTGCTGGAAGCCTTGCCATCCACCCCAATGCTAGCCGTGCGATCAGCTGCATTGTCAGCTGCGCTGTCTGTGCTGCTGTCGTCCGTGCTGCCAGCCGTGTTGCCTGCTGTGCTGCCACCCGCAGTCTCCACATCTGCTGGCTCAGTTGAATCCGAAGTGCCCTCTGCATGTTCCGTCTCGTCCTCTTGACCAGCAGTTGGTGCAAGAGCTTCGTCTTCTTCGTCCTGGGTCTTTGTGCTGTTGGCAGCCTTCAACTCCTGAGACTTCGGCCGCGTTCATGCGGTGGGTCAAGGAAGAAACCATCTCTTGCCTTTGTCATCGCAGCCATCAATTACTGTCATAAGGTAACACGAGGGCCACTGGATTCAAATGGGGTTGTCATGTTGCATAGCCCTGTGAATCCTAACAGCCGGAGCCAGAGCCCACACTATGTCATTGTGTGTGTATCACTCCCGTCTGGTCAAGACCTGGCCAGCCATGGCCGCGGAGGGCTTGCAAACAAGCAGCAGCACGCTTCCTCAAGAAGGCACTGCCCGAAGGCTCTTCCATTTCCTCCTCATCTGCCTCACCAGGAACGATGGTAAACACAGCCCTCTTAAGCAGATAATTAACGTCCTTGGCATGCCTCACGTGCCATGTAATCCTCCCGCTCTCTTCGCATCATCGCCTAGACCACGGCTGAGAAGCAGAGAGAGAGAGAGAGAGCAAAGGCACAGCACGCTGCAGGAAACAGTTCAACCACCTATGCCAACCGTGCTCAGCATTAAGCTCCTTCCATACTCCGACCTTCACGGAGCCATCTGCTCGAACCTCTGCCTTGCTCCCCTCTTTCCTCAGTCGCACAGAGGCAAAAACGCTTTAAAGACCAAAAACCATTGCAAGGAGCACAGACGCTACTAGGCGCTCCTGGCATCACTACTAGGAGCAAGGACGCTACTAGGGGCTTACTAGGGGCTCCTGGCCTTACTAGGAGCATCAGCCCAACTAGCCCAAGATTGGCTTTCCGGTCCAAGACTCGAGGCATCAAAAACGTTGATTTCCACTGTACCTGCTAGCGTCCCAAGGGCCACCATCCAGATTTGAGTCCAGGCGTGCATCTTCCTGGGGCCTCAGCCAAGCGTCTTGCGGCTCGGGAAGAATCAAGCCTTTAGATGCTCAAATAAACATTCGCTCCAACTGCGCCAGGGCACAAGCTCCCAAGGAGTTTAGATGAATGAGGATTTCCTAACTCACGACACTTGCTTCTGCCCTTCAAGGCCCACGGTCTGATTACAATGGCCGCAGAAATCACTGGCATATTCCACGCACAAATCCGCACACGTGCTCGTTCAATATGAGACTGTTTCATTGTTTGTGGCCATGTGCACACGTGCACGAAACCCTTCCACAAGTCCTGCAACCCTTCACTTTGAGAAAACCTGCATGTGCAAGACTGCAAGACTGCATGGGCTTAGGTTTGAACCAGGATCTGCATGTCATGGTACAAAGGCAAATCCTGCGAAGCCACAAGCGAAACGTTGGCAGCGTGTGCTCAGTTTGGACCTTTACATGAAGGCTTGGACCAAAGCAAATCTGCCCACTTGAATGAAAAGTCTCAACTCATCTGCTATTAACGTTGGAAGAATCTTCCTGATCCTTCTTTGCACCAACCTCGGAATGGCGCATGCGCTGAGAATGCCCTGACCAACATCGCTAAGGCTTAAGGGCACTACTGCTGGCGTGTCGCCAAGCTTGAGGCCTGTCCCGTTCATGGACAGATCTCGGACCTAGCCATGCTGGAAAGGAAAACGGGCAATTGGAGCCAATGACACCAAGCTCCACACCACTAATCGAGGGGGAAGGCCTTCCTCCTGTGCAAGGAAAACCGAAGCCAACATCCAAGTTTGAGCGCATGATCCTTCAGGCCTTTGGCACCAAACACGTGCATTGTATCAGTGCGATAGTTTCGGTATTTCAGACCACCCTGGATGAAACGAAGGAATGCACGTCCAGCTCAAGAGTCGAGTGCGGCTCGGTGTTTTCTGATCTGAACTTTACGCTGTGAGGTTCACGTGCAACTCTCTGTACAAATACAAGCCAGGCAATGCAACATTAATGGAGCACTGCAGCGATTAGACAGTCCCAATGCATAGTCGATGAAACTTTTGCAGATCAAACATTAAAGTCAAACTCGTGTCAAAGTCTTTGGAAGGTGTGCGGTGTCATCACTGATCTACTGTAGATTCTAGATGGAAGATCTGCACCTAGGTGTGCCATGAAGACCGGCCCGCTGTGCCTCAGTAGAGATAGATCCCATAGGCTGTGGCAACACAAAAGAGGCTCTCATTGCTGAAGGTCTCCGAGGCATAGCTATCAGTGTCTCCATCCCAGAAACATCTCGTGCCCATGCGAACTCCTTGACCTTTCTGCTCACCAATTGAGACCTGCACCACAATCTTGTAGCGAGGTAGGTTCAACTCCTTAAGTCTGTCTTTGATATCATCGGCCACCTGCTTTGTGAGCAGCTGTGTCGTCTCCATGCTGTAGGTCGCCTTGTCGAGCTTACTCTGCAGCACATCTCTGATGATTTCCTTGGTGGGGCCTGGGCGAAATTTGTTCTTGTACTCTGGGTGGATGACATACGTGTTTTCGTCACCCTTCTTCTTGTCCATTGCCATGCTGTTGGCACCGCGGCAACACTTACCCTATCTACTTGATTGAGCAAGCTGCGAGATCAAAATGCCGTGTTGAGGGTGTGTAGGAGACTCAGCACATTATTGCGTTATACGTCTGCAAACCGTTTCTACGGTAACAGTCCCACCCAACAGTGTTCTGTTCATCTGCTTCATCTGCAGCCGTCCCCTCACCTCAGAGGGCAGCAACCGGATCTCTGCATGGAACTGCCTTAGATTTGCAACTCCAAAGCCCAATCAACACACCGTGACTGCACTTGGACCCAGAAAAAGGTGAAAAACTAATGTGAACTCAAAGCAGGTTGCGAGCACCCTCGCAGCTCCACTTGGATATCATTTCCTGGAGCTCTGCCTGACAATCGGTGTGCCAGCAACTGCGCCGAAACATGTTACGGAAACAACTTCCGGGGAAGATTCTCTTTCAGGCGTTTTGAGAATTCTCGCTCATACAGCCACCAGCTTTTTGGAAGCACTTGAAGGCTTGAAACTCGAACATTCCACTTGAACCTATCTCAACTGGCCACTGGCTCACTTCTGGTACGCCAGCAGTTCGAGGCACCAACCCTGACAAGGTGTGCGGCAAGGAAAGGTGGAGACTGAAATTGGTTGATTGGACTTTGTTGCTTCTGGTATCTTCAGGCCTATGCGGTCTACAGCAGCTTCTGGCGCCGCTTTTGCCCAGGTTTGGCAGCTTCTAGCAAGAGCTGCATCCTTGGCGGCGCTGCGACTGCGAGCACTGTGGCAAGTGACGCTCTTGCCCAAATTTTGGCCGAGCGGCTTTCCTCTGCAAGCTGCAACCTGAGCCAAGCCCAACATTTGTCAAAAACAGCTGAGTGCACAGAAAGCTGAGCTTGGCAACCGCAGTCTTGAACGACGAGACGTCGGGATTAATGTCCTGACAGCCGTAGGAGTGCACATCAAGCTCGACCTGCACACATGAAAAACAGTGCTGGACAACAAGTCCTTCTGCATCATGTCTTCGTGCAGCTGCAAGCTGTACAAGTAGTGCCTGCGTTCCACTGAATTTCCGAGCAATGGAAAACGTTTTCCCAGTTAGCCACCCGCGCTGCCTGGCTCGATTGCAAGTAGTGGAAACAGCACCATATGTGACGACATCAGGCTGCACCTGTTGCGTGCGGCTTGGAGAAAGAACATGCCAGCGGAATGGATGACACCCCACCTGCTTTCCAGGCATTTCATGCAAGAGCTGCAAGGCTCTCCGCCACTCACCTTCCTTTGCAAAGGATGTGATGACTTTGTTGTAGAGGCTCACCATGTTCACCGCCGTAGCCTTGGCCAAAGTTGGCACAAAAGTTTCACGTTGAATCACATGTCCCGCAAAGGCGCGCGTTTATGCGTTTCCTCCTCATGAGTTCCTCCATCACCTCGATTGATACAACAGAACGGTAACCAGCATGAGGCTGAACATAAAGTGTGCAAGAGTCGCCCCATAAGGAGGCCAAAGGAAAATCAAATGAAAGCACTGCAGCGGTTCTGATCTAAGAAGCTCCGGTTCTTCGCTCAGCAGGGGTGCTTCGCTCGGCCTCCTCCAAAGACCAAAGAGCTGGCTTCCACCTCAAACATATCTCATGTATCTACTATTAGGCTCCTGGCATCGCTACTAGGAGCAAAGGACGTTACTAGTTTCAGGCGAGTCATGAAATGCGAAGACCATCAATCCGGCTGCGAGGCACTGAAGGTGACTACGTGAGGCATCATCTAGCCACACGACACTGGAGGACACCGAAGCCGCCAAGCCGCTGCTTTGCATTGGAGTACGTCGTGACCAGCGATGCATGTGTTGCTTGCTGTACGGGAAGGTATCGGGCCTCTCAAAAGAATCCATTACAACACTTAAGAAAACCATAAAAGGCCACTAACAAATTATGACAACTTAAGAGCACAAGAAATGAAACCAACCACATCCTCTCACTCACATGACAGGTTGAACAATTGCTGCACAAACATCTCTTGACACTACTATCTTAATGCGGCAACCATGTCAAAAGTACTACATTTGCCTTCGGAGACAGAAATCTTCAATAACAAGTCCCCAGGGGAATAGCGGCAAGACCAAAAACAAAAGCAACAGCGAGCAAACTACCACTGACAGACAAATTATACTTCTTGCTCCGGGAGTCTTTGCCAAATTACACTTTTCAGTGTCAGGCCAAATTGCATTAAACTCTTTGTAGACTGTAACTAAGTAGTTCCCAAAAGCTGCAAGCATCATCTCGCCTTCATTGAGCATTCGGAATTACAGCTACAAGTGCTTGTGCTACCTTGAATCTCAAAAGCTGTTGCTCTGTCAAGCAGCCTGCATCTGCTCCACGAGTTCCTCAGATTCTTTCACATCTCCAGCTAAGCCGAGTCAAATGTTATGCTCTCCCTCTCTCCCACTCTTTCTCTCCGCTCTCTCGGCTACCGCTCTGTTTCAGAAGTGACAAGAGGCCACAGACCATTGCCATTCACCACATTGGGCACATGCCTTCAGTGCTTCCTCAAAGCTGTAAGGATCCTCTGGAATCTCCTGGCGAAGCTGGGCTGGCTGCACAGGGCTCCTTTCATCAAAGCCCCTTGAAGCAAAGCAAGGTCACATCTCTCCTCGAGCAAGAGCAAAGCGTGCCTCCAATCACCAGCCTGTCGAAATGCACCTGGAGATTCCAAACAAGTCCCAAAAGCTACACATCTGGCTTTGCCAGCTCAGGCCCTGGCGCATGCAATTCTGACAGAGACGACGAAAGGATGAACTCCTGTACAGAGTCAGAGACGCGTCGTGGGGGAAATGATGCAAATTATGAATGAAGTGCAGTTGACTGCTCGCATTCCTCAAGCCTTGGATTCCAATGCATACGAGGCGCTCAACCTCACTGGTGCCCAACTCCTGACAAGCAAAACACTAGTCACACAAATGGCCTATTGGGGCAGCTGCGAATTGAGACTGCTGCACACCTCAATTTTGCTGGTTCACGGGGATTTTTGATAACATGAAGGACAGTCTAGACTAAACCCATTCTACAACGGGGAGCATCAGGCCCTCCCTAAAGTGTTCACTCAGCCCTGTAGATCAGTCAGATTTTGCATTCCCGACCTGCGCTTCGAGCAAAAGACGCAATGCATCTTCGGGATATCCGGCCCTGAAGCGACCGAAGTCGAAGTGAAGCAAAAGTCAAGTCATCAAAAGTGACTCAGGTATGACTCCAGTATGACTTAAGTAGAACTATATATTTTTCTATATGTGTGTTTGTGTGTGTAGCGATTTGAGTGACCAATAAATTTCAAAAATGGATTCGTACCAATTCGTCTCAGCCTGGCATTAACCATCATTGCCTGGGCTCAAGGAACCGCATCAGCAACAACCACACGCAGCCCAGACTGGAAGTCGTCAACAATCTCTCAAACCGTCACAACGAATCGTCAGAAACTCTCAAAACAAAAGGGTTGCTCAAAAAAGAGGTGCCGAGTGTCCATGTTTCGATACCGGTCAGATGGAGGCATACTCCGTCCACACATCTCACGAATCAGGAAAGACATTGCAGCAGCCACTGGAGCTGGGTTGTCGTCACTTCGGCACAATTTGTAGCAGGCCGACAGGGCTCCTTCAAAGACGTCTTTGTCCTTTAAAGTCTCTTCAATCTCGCGGAACATGTCAAAAACCTTTTCCCAATGACGCCCTGAAGCCCAAGCATTCATTCCAGCAATGTATGTTTCCTTGCCGCGCTCGCCAAAACCTCTACTCATCTCCATGACCTCCAATGCTCGTTGCCAATCCTGTTGGGCGAGAGCCAGCATTGCCTCACAGCGATCGCTGGCAGTTATCGTATCAGGGTAGGTTTGCCCTTCCTGGAGAACTTGGAGAATCTCAGGCCAAGAGCCCCACCGCGAATACACCGAGAGCATGAGGCCACCAATTCGGTTCTCCCAAAATTGTGATGGGGAGCACTGTTCCCGAAACTCTTCAATCAGGCGCAAAGCCCTGTTCCACTGTTGCGCGCTCACCAAATTTGTGGCGGTGTTTCGGTACAGCTCACCTTTCTCTTCGAAAGGTGTTTCATCGACAGATTGCGCATGCAATGCCAGGACCTGCCGCCAGTCCCCACGCTCACCTGCCACCTGCAGCATCGCTGGGCGATCCTCGGGGAATATCTCGAAAAGCTCTTGCAATGCTGCAGGGCATTGGACCACCTTCGAGGCACCATGGCACCCATAGAGACGCTTCAGATGGCTAGGGACACTTTGGCCCCACATCCTCCCGCCCTACTACTCTGCTTCAAATGTTTCAAGCATGAGAACACATCGAGAAGAGAGCTAGAGGCGGGGAGCAACAAAAAATGACATGTATATATATATATAACTATATTGTTCAAGGGCTGTAGCTCTTGTACACAAGCACACATTTTAGTGTTTGCGCATGGCATTTGCTGCACCTATCTGTCCTCCGCCGTCCTGCTTGGCGCTGTGAAGTGGGAGTTCAAGACCCGCCCAACTATATATGTTTTGCATCTCTTGAAAGCACTGCGGAACAGACTTACGGGCTTCCAACGAGAAAATCCCAACATCAATGGCTTGCTGAACACAATTGGCCGGTCTCTGAGGAGGACACCAATTCTGACACACTTCTTCTCATCTAAGTCCAACAGAAAGTGTTTGGGCCTGAACAAGTAGGCCCGCAATTCCGCACGGCAGGCAACAAACTCAGCCAGCATTGAGTTAGAGCCGGGCCCTCTTGCAGCAGCAGAACCTAAGCTCTTCTAATGCCAACAAACCTCCATGGAAACACGGAAGCACTCCACTTGGCTGAGCCAAAAGCATCCCTGCCCTTCGCCTGTGATGGTAAAGCCCACTTTGGTCACAGTTTCTGCCATTACCTGAGCCGCATCTCGCTGCAAGCGGTGCGGCATGTGCACACACTCCCTGGAAACACAAGTAAGTAGCTGCAGGCACAACCCAGAGGCCGAGTTTACACTAGATCTGACATTGAAAGACATCTAGAATCTAAGCAAATGATGCAAATTGCAAATGACATCAAATGACATTGTTGTGTTCTCTAATGTCAACTAACATGACCAACCCTCAAACAATTACAGTATAAATTGCCCAAAAATTAAAGAATGTGAAACTGTCATAAAAAGATGCGTGTCCTCTTTTGATATCACGTCTGTTACTATGTCTGAAGTCGGAAATTAAAGTGTTGTTAGGTGTCCAATCTTTTTGCTACAAAATGCTGATTTTGGCTCATTGTTTGTTTGGCTGCCGTGGGGAACACGACGACATTGATGCCCCGAAGAGCTTGGCACAATGCAGCTAGAAAGAAAATGAAACAAATACAAGGGATTGCTGAACCAGCTCTAAGTTCTAAGGCCCTCTCCTCGTCCTGAGCCGGCGCTGGCTCAGGAACTGTGCCAAAACACTGCGGTCGATCAAAGCAGCTGTCCTTCATGTCAAGTTGGATTCTGTCATGTTGACATGATCTGTCAGGAGTCGTGTACGTGCTGCCAGCCATCTTTCTCAAAGCCTCCGAATGTCTCTCCGACCTTTGAGACAATCCTCACGCGCTCGACATGGCACATCCCTTGTGGATCTACCACGGCTAGGTGAGCACCTGGCTCCAGGCCACATCCCAAGCCACCTCTGAGATTGCCAGCTCCTTACGCCTTACGCTTCGTAGAAAGTTGCTACGCCACTACGTTGTGTTGAATCCGTAGGCTCGACATGCTTGCATGGTTGATTTGAGCATGGCAAATGGAAATTCTTAGAAAGTGTTGGGTGCATTTAGTGCCGAAGTACTGAGGTACACAGCCTAGGCAATTGATCTGCAGCTGTGGTTTCACAGGCTGCCTGCCTGGCCTCCCTAAACAACAGGCATGCCTTGGCGCCGCCAGCCCTGCCCCTGCGAACAGCGGCCAGGGATCAGCTCCAGGTCACTTACACCGAGATGACGATACTCCGGGTAGGATGTAAGGAGTTGCTGTCGGCCGCAACTCCGGCGACGCCACGTTGATGGACGTCTTGCCCTGTTCCAGCCTGACGTCAGGCCGCAGGAAGCTGAAGACTAGACACGGTTCAGCGGGCCTGTGACATCGTGAGAGGCTTCCAGATCTCTCCGATTCGTGAACCGCAGGTGGGGAATTTTGAGCAGAAGGTGGTCCAGAAACATCTCCAGACCTTTGGCTGATACTTTGGTGTCAACTGTGCAAGGGTCCATCACAACGCATTTCAACTCGCAACTACTGTCAGGGTAGGCCACACCAGCTCTATGCACTGACGCAGGTAATCGAAGTTTGTTAACAAATTTGTCTCGATAGATGAAAATCAAACATTGATCATCTCGCCAAGTTGCTCCTTCTTCTTTCGTGCTTCCCAAGCTTCAGTATTGGTCTGAAGATGAGTCAGCAGCACATCCTGGCACATGATGAGTCAGGTCTGCGAAAGGTGGAACGGCCAGGTATGCCAAATGGTCAAACGGCACAATTCGGTGCACCTTAACACGATGCTGCAGCTCAGCCATGAGAGTGAAAGTTGGCTGCACGATGATAGTGAAGAAACCCACCTGCCCACTCGGAACTGACCGGCTTTTCACCACATGCAAAAACTGCATTGCTGGGGAGAAGGTATGTGGAAAGGTCTGAGCGCGCCCCATTCTACAGTGCTAATTGGCACCTGCGAGCTTGCAAAACGCACAGTTTCTCGGTCGCAAAGTGGTGAAATTGGCAGTCCCAGGTGCTTCTCCTGAAAACTGATCCACGGGTCCAAGCCATGTCCGCTTTTAGAATCCATCTTTCGGGACAAAGGCCATGCATGGCACTCTTACCCATTACAATGCCACAAATCAGCTGAAATGTGCCGGTCTCCCAGCAATCAGCTGACATGCAACCGTCCTCGTCCCCCTGCAGAAAGAACTCCTGTCGCAGCAAATCCTTGGCGTCAAGGTGGGAGGACTATTTTTCACATGCGATGCTCAGCTGGACGGCTGCGAACCAACGACAAATCCTTCAAAAGCTTGCTAAATCTGAAGAGGATCTGACCACTTGTCAGACAAAGAAAAGACTTTCGCAGGGTTTGAAATATCCATAGCATGCAGCGCCATCACACGCAATGCCGACCTTAATTACAGAAAAGTGACCGCAATAGGACTCATTCCACACACCGAGCCGTTGGTCCTATTGGGAATCGAGCCACATAGCCTTTGGCTCGTGATGCCATTCTGTTGGATCACTTCCAAGCTTCTCCACTAGTGTCTTGAAGTCCGCCTTAGGCACTTTGGAAGGCGCAAGTCCACCGTGTGTCTGGCTTACTTTTTGGATGCAGCCATGCATAGCCGTGCATTCAAGCAGCTACATTGCCGAAGTGGGATGACATGTCAGTACCCAGAACCACCTGGCGGTGAAAGCCTTTGAGAACAATACAGCAAGACTGGAGCACATCTGTGCATTTTGCATCTTCCTGTCCAGCCTCGACCATCTCTTTGCGCAATCGATTCCGATGCTCAATTTTGAACCCTTCCTTGCAGTGAACTGGCCGGTCAGCCAAACTCACCAAAGCTGCCCCAAAAGAACTGCATGCATGGGTGCCATCCAAGCGGCCAATATATTGGTTGACAGGTCCTTCGGGTACAGTACTGTACGAGATGTTTTGAAAGGCAAGAAGCAAAATCTGCCAAAGTAGAATCCATTGGGCCCATTTTCGTTGGCATCTTTCATACGACTAGGGGGACCACGCTATGCATCAACTTGAAAGTCTTGGAGATATGCATGTTCTCGAGAACGCTGATATCCTTGGTCAACCGGGCTCAGGTATTCTGTGGTGTGTGTGGGCAAGGGCTGCATGAAGAGTTTGGCTACCAAGCGGCATTGTAAGTCAAAGCGATATCATCGCAAACATTTACATGAAAAGAGTTTGTTCTCCCATCATGACCTCGGAAGTGCTGTTTGCTTGCCCCACACACCAACTGGTCACCAGGCGGGAACGCTGAGGCATCCGCCCATGTCATGAACAATCGCACCCAGTAGAATGGCAAGAATGCTGAGCTGGTCGAAGTACGCTGCAAACCCGAACTGCTTCAGCAAAGCGTGGACACATTGTGTCACCTTGCATGCAACAATGCAAGCGTTTCCCGCCTGCTAACTTCTAAGTTTGGAAGCGTTATACAAACTCACTGCCAAAACACGTCAGCTGCGTGCACATTGTTGTGATAAAGAACTTTATCCTGTCGAGAATACATGTCCTGGAGCGGGTCACACAGCTGCCTCCTGTAATCTGCCGATCTGCAAGCAGGGAACAGTCCTCCACAGCCTCCAGGAACCGGCTTGTCCTTTCCATCTCTAGAAATACATCAGATGACCTTAGATGGTTTTCAACTGGTTTCTCTCAACTGTGCAAACACTTCAGTCTAGTTGGAAAAAACATCAGTAGATTCCAGTTTCATATTGTACTCTTTTTTGCACCTTTGCTTGATTGTGCCAACGCCATTCCTTTCACCATCTCTTTGGGCCAGGTACTGTTCTCCAAGGAATCCGTCTAAAGCTTTCCACCCAGCAAAGTGCAAAGGGTTGCCCTTCGTCGCTTCAGCGAGCTCAAAGCCTTGGTCGAATTGAAGTGTTTGAACAAAATTTGCGTTTTCTAAGAATGGCACAGGGGGGAGTCTACGCACACCCTATCACCCTGTTCATCACTGCTACACTTGGTCTGGACTAAATCCATGAATGACTCGACTGCAAACTCTGACATACTGCCGCCCTTCCACGTTTCCGGAACAAGTGCAACCAAGCCGCTGTCAAAATCCCACTGGTCCTCAGATCCAACTACAGTAAACTGTGTCTCTTGGAAGCAGACTTTTCCAGCTTTCCCACAGCTGCTTGATTTGCATTGTGTCCTTCTTATATGCTCCTTTCAAGCGGCAAACTCATCCAGCATGCGCGCATCCAGAGACTCCCATGAGGGTGGCGGTCGAGAAAAAGCTACTGATGGAGTCCGTGACCGGCTCCCAGGAGTCCCAGGACATGATGAACTAGTGTTCACCTGCGACACAATTCAGTGCCCAATTGCATCAAGGAAGCGGCAAATCCCGAGCCGGACCTGCTTTGCATAGATCATCAAGTAATCCTCGGTTCCGCCATTCAACCCCCAACCAAGTGAGAACACCGACAATAAACACTTTGACATCAAAGCTGAAAGCACTGCAAAATGGATCACAAGCCATCCAACTTCAACCCTTGTGTACCCATCATAAAGCCAGGCAGGTCGCATAGCCACCTTCGGGGCACAAGCAAGAGGTACCACTTCGGCTGAGATCTTTCAACGGTTCTCTCTGTGGATATCTTTCAAGCTCTCTGCCTGTCTCTGTCTCTGTCTCTGTCTCTGTCTCTGTCTGTCTGTCTGTCTGTCTGTCTCCCTCTCTCTCTCTCCCTCCCTCCCTCTCGCTCTATGACTCTGGATCTCTTGATGGCATCTGCTGACTTTGTCTAGCCATCTCTTGCGGCGCAGCGGCCTGGTGTGACATCTCCTAAGACGACAGCGACAGCTACAAAACCGAAAATTCAGAAAGCGCTGGTGTGGTTCTTCCAACTCAAACCGCATTCATGCCTATGGTGGGAACAAACGAGGCCAATCATTCGACTAGCACATCGATACAAAGCATATCGAAGACTGTGTCTCTCAGTGCAGATCGAGTCTCCAGTATTACGCTGAAGAAGCATACACGGCATTGCCAGTGTTTCCAGGCTTGCACCCAAGCAATCCTTCAGGAAAAGCATCTCTTCCTTAAAACACTGCACAGCATTACAAAATGAAAGAATGAGAGCACCTTCTCTTATATGTCTGACAAACATGTGCACAAAATGAAACCCTAGCAGTCAAAGGCATACAAAGGCCACGTGGTCGCTACTTCCGCTACTTACTTACACTGCTTGCTGCAAGCATGCTTGCAAGCCTGTTTGCCAAGGACAACCCTAAAGCCTTCTGGGTTTTGCCAAGGTGCTACCTGAACTTCAAGCTCAGGTCTTTCCACAAGTCTATCCAGGATGCCTTTCGCAACATCCATCAGGGTTGCCGTAGGACCAGCCTTGGTTTGTTTCCAGGCCTAGTCTTGCCACTGCCAAATAATGGGTTGGAAGCTGCTGCCGGGAAGCCAGTGCCAACATTTCATTGACGCCTTCGGTATCAGGAATTGTAGGTGGTTGCCCCACAGAAACGCTCCGCATAACCTGCAAGTGTGGCCTTGGCAAACAGACTGCTTCCGGAAACCAGCTGCTGCCAACGTGTATGGGCTACCTCCTCAACACTTCAATTGAAGCCTCAAGCATTCACAACTTGGACAACCAAGCTGCTGTAAACTGGGCTCTATCTGTCAAAAGCAAACAGCTTAAGCATTGTGACCAAGCTAGCTAAGGTGAACTGACATGAGATCACCGTTAGCAGTGTGGGGGGGAATCAACTGAGATGAGACAAAATGAAACGATGATGGGATAGCTTTCGCATCTGCGACTGCAGATAAAGACTAATTACATACGTTGTAATTATGGAGTGGACTCGGTTTCCTTCAGCTGCAACTCAGACGACCTTGTTCACTCCGAGGCGCTTCACAAGCTTGTTCATGGGAGCTGGCTCTGTGTGGAATCTCTGTATGGGCCGCCGCATTGCGCCCGTGGCCCTGCCCCTTCTTGGGGCGGCCGTGCAACAGCAAACACTCGGACGTTGTAACAAAAGGCCCGCAAAAGGTATATCTACGCTCTTCCCAGGCTGGCCGCTAGCGGCCTTAATCAATTGAATAACACCGTGAACCAATAAAAGACCGACAGGAGTAAGAGTAAGAGAGTCTACGGAAGTTTTTTCTTTCAAAACGCATGCCCACGCAACAGTCTCACTCAAACTCTGGTGTCCCAACTATGTCTGTCATTCAATGTCCAAGCTGATCCTGAAGGCTGGCCACATCGACGCGGCAATGTTCCTTCCGTATGGCTCAATCCCAATTTTGGTTCGCACAATCCTGGGACATGTTTCTCCCTGTGTGACCACATGCGCATAGTCTTTCAAAAGTGTGCATGTGTTCATGCTGTCAATGCTTTCCTTTTCTGCACTTGTCCACTCGGCTGATTCTCGATTGGCAGCTCACTTCAAAGCTGCAGGCCTGGGATCTAGCCCAAGGAGCACCCATCATGGTGCGCTGGCGCCAAATAGTCGGACACCAGGCTCAAAAATGAAAATTGGTTGCCCCATGGCATTGACTGCTGTCCAGCGAATTCAATCTACCATGCAATCTCAAAAGTAGAAGCACCGCTTGCCCTTTGGCAGCTTGATTGATGCTTCAGATCAGTCGGACGGGTGTCGGCAAACCTCAGAATTGCAAACGCATGATCAAGCTGAACTGCCAAATGTTCAACAGCCTGATGTCCAAACCCTACTCCAAACATTGATGAGCCCTTGCACGCCTGACCCTATATAAGCAAGGCAACTCTCCACCGCGAAGTCCTAAGATGACAAGCATTCAAAGCAAGCTCGCAACACCGCAAGGAAGAATTGTGCGGAAATCGAAGTAGAGGGGACCAGGGAGAGGAAGAAACATGTATATAACGACACCATCATGAAAAAAATGAAAACCCAACTTGCAGGTGAAGCTCGTAGAACTTGACCGTCTCACCGCAAAGGTCTGGCTCATCCTTGTGGCAAGGACCCTTGCCATCACCACCAACTCCATCCATCCACAGCATGTCTGGTGCACTCCAGTAGCTAACTACTGGCGTCATACCATGTGTTAATGCATCGGTCAATTCCCGGGCACTTGATTGACCTCCAAAGTGATAGGACTGAGTGTCCACCGAGGCCTCTAGGGTGCACCCATTCTGCGACACTCGTGTGACCATTGCCCGCAAGAGCATTTGACCTCGTCGACGATATGCAGGAAAGCTCACTTCCACTTGGAAAGGTTTTGTGGTGTCAATGCAACTGGCACCTGGACCGTACTCTTCCTTGGTCCAATCACGGCTGTTGCTCCATCCAGATCCACCCCCACCATAGCCAAGTCCTTCTCCTGAGCCATCTTGTGCCAAGTGGAGAACTGAGTGGAAGGCATGCTTGTTGGCCTCCTGCAAGTCAATCTCCGTGCATCGCACACCGCAAACGCTATTGGCATCGCAGTAGTAGTCCTTGCATCCTGAGACTTCGGTGTTTTGAGCAAGGGAGACCAAATAGAAAGCGGCATTGCAGCCACACCCAGCCGTGGCGAGATCTGTGGTCCATCGAATGCGCTTGCCCAGGAGACGGAGTTTGGTGTAGCGATTGTTGGAGTAACTGCCAGCTCTGCATTTGTCTGAAAAGTAGGTTCTTCCTTTCATGTACACATGAATGACTCCATTGCCATCCACATCAACCTCCCCAGCTGGGTCGTACGGTTTGTTCCAATAGGCATTTGTCATGTGGATAGGTCCTTGGCTGGAGGCACGGCTACCAAAATGAAAGGCTACCTGCGGCTACCTGGGACAAGTGATGACAATTCCCTCTGTCCTGTCATCCTGTGGAAAGTAAAGTTAGCATGGCATCACAACTCCAAGGAACTATTGCGTCCGCCAAGGCTGATGGAGCCCGGGCAAGAAGCTCCTTCCACCCCTGCATGCACAACCGACTACTTTGCCATCTCTTCAATGTATATACTCCCGAACAACTCTGTTGTCATCTCCTCCCTGGTCAGTGATCCATCTTCCATGTTTCAATGTGTGATCCATGGCCTGGCGTTGAAGCATTCATTGAAGCAGCCAGCGCGGCATCCAGAAGCACTGCCCAAATGATGAGCATTCCTGCATCGAAGCAGGTCGCAAAGTGGGTGCTGGGAAATTGGTGGTCTACCCCAGATTCAAGCCCTTCACACATCATGATTCAAGCTTCCCTGAACAGGTGAGCCAAGCTAAATGCTGCAAGGGCGCTCTCTGCAATCATCGGCAGCCTAGGTTATGCCGTGCAATTTGGGCCGAAAATGGCTGCACTCGAAATGGGCACTGGCTGTCATGCGTGAGATGCACAGAAACACAACAAAGGATTCTCAAGTGCAGCGAGCACATATGTCATTGAGACTTTTGGATGCGCGCACCAAGCCCATCGCTCAGCCAAGCCCCGGAAGCCTCCCCTGCCGCATAGAATGCGCACAAAAACAGCAATCCATGAAACAAAAACATGCCAGGCATGCCTCCAGCCGTGGTGTGGACATATCCTTTTTGCAAGTGTTCAGTCAGGTTGCTTGGTCCACTTGTGCAGTGCGGAGATGCTGCATATATCATATATGTACAAAGTGCAACCAAGCATCGTAGTAGTCAGCATGTCCAGGCTGAGACACTGACAATGGAGGAAGCCCTTGGCGTGTCTTGGGCACAATGCACCCAAGCCGGTCAACTACAGTAGCGACTCCTGGCTGCAACTGGCTTTGAGCTACGGACTTTGACGCCTAGAGAGCGGGCCAGCCTCGCCATGGCCAGCAGCAGCCCAAAAACAAGAAGTGAAATCTCGTGCAGATCTGATGCAGGTGGAAACCAGTTTTGAAGCTGCCAAACCATGGAGATCTTTGCTCACTTCGACTGGTCCAACTTCAAAAAACGCGTTGAGCTCTCCTCAAGACTGGCCCGAATCACCTGGACCGCCGTAGATTTTCCAAGCACGAAATCTGCACGCGCTTTGTGAGCATCATGCCCGACAATTCACTTCAATGCACTTCAGTCTACTTGCCCAGCGCCAACGATGGTTGGTTCGAGCTCACTTCGCTCGAAAGACTTGTATGCGCGGGGGCCATGGGGGCCCAGCTGGCCATTTTCACTGGCCTCCAAGGCTAGACCGCGCAGGTCTGGCAAGAAAGCTGCTGCAAAGAAGAACGAACTCAAGTTGATGGCGCCAAACATCGCAAACGTAGCCACTGCATTTGCAAAAAGCAAACTCTCAAAGACTTGAAAAATAACAATGTCAATTATGCTGGCTACAGCTTGGCACTGCCCCAAAAATTTTGACCGGACGGCGCTGGGAAGCAACTCTGAAATGACCAAGAATTGAACACCACCATAGCCTGCAGTCCAGGCGAATATTCTGAGAATGACACATGCGGCAGGGAGCTGCTCTGGAACTCGGCTTGGGAATGCAAGATGAATGGCAAGAATGGAATCACAAAGCGTGCACAGCATGCTGCCGCCCATTACAAGCCTTCTTCTACCCACCCTCTCAGAATCAGATGCCGACATAGCAAGCAAAGCACCCGCAAGTTTCATCCATCCTACTGAAGGTAAAATGCTTGCAGGATCTTCCACACTGCAAACCTTCAACAAGTCGTAGGCGTATGCTTGCACTGCTAAGCTTCCCACTGATGCAGTGAAGCTTGCCAGCCCCAACGAGATCAAAAAGGGCTTCCGAAACTGTGCCCAAGCATGCATCTGACGTCTGCAATGCGATTCCCCGGCACAATAATCAATATGTTCGCCTTTGCACGCAAGGCTCCTCAATTCAAGAGTCTCTGAATGCAATCCCAGGGATTGGATTGATTTGTCCAGAGCATCAACGTCTCCCTGCAATGCATACCATCGTGGGCTCTCTGGCAAGGCTAGCACAAAAATCAGTTGAAGACCAGCAGGCACTGCTGCAATTGCAACGACACTTTGCCACTGCCATGCCGCATCAGTGTTGTCGCGGGCGGGTATGTGCAAACCAAGCAAGCATCCGACGCAGACCGCAACTTCGTTCAAGCATATGAAGAGGCCTCTATTTCTCCGCGGAGCAATTTCACAAAGGTATGTTGGGGTTACTACAAAAGCCAACCCCATGCCCATTCCAACGAGGAACCGGGCTGCGAAAAAACCAGGAGTTGACCGTGTGCTGGACTGCAGAGCAACAGACACCACTATGAGCACATCCGCAGAAAAGATCGCAGCACGTCGACCGAATCTGTCAGCAAGGCCTGTGCAGCACAATCTGGACATCAATGCACCAATTCCAACGATCGATAGGACGGCCTCCTCACAGAAGCACTGTACATGAACCCCCTACACTTAAGGACTCCATCATAGAAGCTAACATGTAAACAACTAACAATGGTACTTAAGCAATGGCCATGACAATCAGCTTTTCAATGGCTTCGTAATTACATTTGTCCCCGCAAACACTAGGACTAGGACAATGTGACCACCAGGTCCTTGAGAAAGCATGTCGATATTTCAGCATCGTTGTGGCAAAGGGCAAGGTCTCTGTCCATGAAGTCCAAGATGCCTGTAGTTATACAAATGTCGTACCCGTTGACCAGCCCACTGAGCACATTGAAAAGCACGCACCCCAGCCGGACAACCATCCTCAGGTGAAAAGCTGTCTCCATTATGGAGGTTTTGTGCTGGTTGCATAATCTGGCATGCATACACACTTGCACATGGTTTGGCTTGTCAAAGCTTCGTGTCACATCCGACGCCGAGGGTTTAGCTCCAAGGCACTGTTTTGCGCTGAGAGCATCATCGGCGGGTGAACAAGATAGCTCACCCATTCCGGCAGAAAGACACGGCCCATCACTCGGACAAAGGAATGCTGAATGACGTGGTTTGCTGCTTTGGGTGTTTTCTCAGCTCCTTAAGTTTGACCAAGCGGAAAGGAAGGACTGGTTCGATCATTTTGTGCTGACCCTTGAGGTTTTGGGCATCCAAAGGGCAACCTGCCTCTTTGCGTGACTTAAATGGAATTGCGTTCACATTGAAATGCTTAGCTTCAAGCTATCACCACATCGTCATCATCTTCACCTCCAATCCATTCCGATAAACTGGACCTGTCACAAAAAAGGTTGCCCAGAATCCCAGGTTTGACACCTCTGTCTTCAACCTCATTGCAAGACAGTGTCCGAACAAAAATGCCAAATGTGCAGTTGCATATCGCCCGGCACAAAGGCCGCTCGAGCGCTCCGCTGCCTTGCATCAAATCAAGCTAACACCCTAAGGGCTAGCTCAGGGCAGCGCACCTCCACACATACCCGAAAATGACGACAAGCACAACAAAGACGATCACCGCAAAGATTTTTGTAAGTGAATCCTCAGCTCAAGTATCAAGTGGGATCCAGTGGTGAGATTCAACCAGAACTTCTCTTCCCATTGAGCACCCCACGGGGCTTTGGGGTCCTTGTTCAACGCCTCCACCGTGAGATGGATGCTCTCACAACCAGCCAACGCTGCAAACCCGTGTGCTTTCTCACGCCGACTGCCTAAGCCACCAAAAAGAACTGTAGTGCTTGCGGAGTAGACAGGGGAGAGTGTACCTGAAAACGAGTGCATGTCGCAACCTCACCCCTTTTCAAAAATGCCTCCCAGCAAGACAGTAAATCAGCCTTCACCAGGTAGGTCCGGGTTTGCTGTAGTCGCTCCGCCTGCGTTTGTTGCAAGTGCCGGTTGTATGAACTGTTCCCTAATTGGTTGAGCAAGCTGACGGCCATGCCTACCACAGGTTCAGCACTTGCATTCTCAGTGTTGTTGCTGAAATTTGTGTTGAAGTCTACAGGGAAGTCGATGAAACTGGTGGTCACGTTGGCAGTGGCCTCGGTGTACGTGAGAACTGGCATGTGTATGTCCAATTGCCAAAAGAATGTCCGCCCACTCAGCCATGAGCGTTCTCACCGCTGTCATTGCCATGGGCCACATCTCGCAAGGAAATTAAGCAGGCACTTTCAACAGTGTACTGACGGCTGTTGGTACATTGCCTGGCATGAACATCTCCACTTGGGTCGACATCAGGGAGGCATCCAATCCATGGCTGCCGGCGTGGAGTTGCTGAGGGTAGAAGAAAGTAATGCAAATACAGACGAGATACAGAAATGAAAACACAATTACAAGAAAACTTGCAACCAAAAAAACCAGAGATTCGCAATTAAATGCGTTTACGTCTAGTGCTTTGCTGTTTTTCTGGTCTTCTTGTTTGTGCGTTCGATTGCTTTATTGGAATGGCCCTCTGGCTGGTCCATGTCATGGCCAATGGAAGTGAACATGCGTGCGGCAAGAAATCACACAACACAATTTAGCAGAGTCCCTGTGCCAGTTTCGAGGACAACACACTGCAAAAAAACTAATACAAGGACCACAGGTCGACAAAAAAAATCCTAGCTGAACTGAACAACAAAAAACGAACCACAGTGGTCCTGTGTGTCGCCAGCTGCTGGCTGAATAGGGCGGCTGATAAACAGCTGGGTTTGCGATATGTGGCATCTTCACAACCCTCCAACCACCAAACTAGAGTCTAGAGCCGCCTGCCTGCCTGTAATGAGCCATGATGTTACCTCAAACTGTGGTTTCAGCTGTGGCACAACCTGTTCCATTCCCAAGGCCGATGACGGCCACACACGTGAGGAAACACTTAGGTTTTTAACTGCTGCATGTTCGTGGTATTAGCCGACGGTCCTAATAAACATCACCATTCCGTGAACCCCGACATGTTGGGCGAGTCTTGGTTGCCAAGACTATTGTGGAAAAACGGGTTTCAATTTCCAACCGAATTTGGTTTTGCAATGTTTTGCACAAAAAAATTGAGACATGATCATCACACCATATGGGGCCCGACCACATCCACTTCACATCGACATCAACCTTATCATGTGGGTGTTTTTGCCCATCCGCTGAGCACAGAGAGTCTCCACCACCGCATCGCTGAGCCCAACCGGCTATTCAGTGCTGAAGAAATCCCGAATCCCGGCACCCCGCCACCAATTTCAAGAGCAAGGCAAGGACGACCAATCAGCCACTTGGTGGATAGATTGCATTCCACCCCGGTAACGACTGGCATGTTGATGGGGCCGACCACCAAGTCCAATGCAACCGGCAGACGCCACCTTCCGAGCGGCTGGAGGGCAGTTTGTGCAGTGGCCGCCAACACGATCCAAAGCACAACGACACAGACAGCTGCCGGTGGCTGAGGGCAAAGGGAGGCGCAAATGCCGATGGAGCATCGAAGAGCAACGCTGGATACACAAGCGCGTGGGACACAATCACGGTGCATGGTGAAGACGTGGCCGTCGTGAGGACGGGATTGCGCACCAAACCCGGCAGAGTCAAGGGAGGGGCGAGAAAGGACGACGCCACAGAACCCAAGCCGAACCGAAAGAGGACGCCCAACGGGCCGCGACAACAAAGGCAATGCCGCAACGGCAGCTGGGCCGAGGAGCAGCTGAGGCCGGGATTGGAGCATTGAAGCATGACAAGGCAAGTTGCGACGGCTAAAGCATATTCAGCTGCAGCGCCCAGCAGGAACATGCGCAACAAATACACTCAGCCGCGTATACCGGGAAGAAACTCGACGCCAGGAGGGGGGGGCCCAGCGTAGTCCTTGCCACGAGAACGCAGTGATTTGGCAATGTTCTTAAATTCCTTCCTACATCTACCCACCGCAACTGTCATGCATTCAAGCGATGGTCTAGCAATGGTGTGAAAATCTTTGTGATCCTTTGACATCTCTTTGTGCGGGGCGCTGGTAACTGTACTTGAATCACATAAAGTGCCCTGGGGGATCGGAAAGAAGGTGAACGACGGGGTGAACGCGATCAGAACCCATGCCGGCAAGGAAAGCCCTCAAAATGATTACACGTTGATCCTGTTTTTTTCTCTCTTGTCTCCCCGCTTGTCTGCCTGTCAGATCAACATTGTTTGCCGCTGCTGCCTTGTCTTCCCACCCGTTTCCCCACTGGAGATAACTAGTTAGAGGCTGTTGCTATCTGGAGGCTGCACTGACCACAGCTGCAGGGAAAATTACTCCAGCATAGTCCCCAGATAGCAAAAGCATGCAAAAGATTTTTGTAGGCCGCACCCTTGGCAGCAGCTCCAATTTTTACAGCGTGGCGTGTCTCCACTACGCGAGAACCCGGCACCTTACAACACCAGCACCAGCACCGGCACCCAGCACCCAGCCAGCACCGGCACCATGTCTCCACCGCGTGCAGAAAGCCAGGTCACGTGCACAGCAAGCTCGCAGCACCGGCGCCCAGCACCCTGTCTCCACCACGCGCACAGCCAGCCAGCCAGTACCCAGCACCGGCACTGGCACCCTGTCTCCACCACGCGCACAGCCAGCCCCTGCACCGGCACCGGCACGCGCACGGCCAGCTCACAACACCGCGCACAGCTAGCTCACAGCACCAGCACCAGCACCGGCACCCGGCACCCAGCACCAGCAACCTGTCTCCACCACGTGCACAGCCAGCTCACAGCACCAGCACCAGCACCGGCACCGGCACCACCAGCACCGGCACCGGCACCCAGCACCACCACCAGCACTAGCAACCTGTCCCCACCACGTGCGCAGCCAGCTCACACCCAGCACCAGCACCAGCAACCTGTCTCCACCACGTGCACAGGTCTGTGGCACTTGCAAAGGTCGGGCACTTGCAAAAGGTTTAGTCAAGGTTTAGCACCTGGTGTGCCCAGCTCAAGTTTTAGCACTTGTAAGGGCCTAGCACCTGCAACAGGATTGATCAAATCTTTGCATTTGCACAAGGTTCGACCAAGTTTTTATGAAAAGTCGTGACACCCACACGTGAAAAGGTCTCAAAAGCTGCGCGTCCTTTTGAGCCTGCATCTTGAGCCACAGGCGGTCGTTCATGCCTGTGTGACAGTCAAACCTGCTGGACGGATTGAAGGGGCAACTGCATGAGATGTGGTTGCTAGCGGGTCAACATGTTCCATTTCACACCCGTATTCTTTCTTGGCCCTCAATCCATCCAGAGTCGGTGACATGTCGACTTCAAAGCCATCCATCAGCCTCTTTAGGCCGTCGTGCTTCATCCCTTTTGTCAAAGGGTCTGCAAGCATCTTGTCGGTCGAGGTCCAGGTGAGCTTCGTCGTTCCGGCCTCTGGAAGCCGGTCAGTGGCCAAAGGATCTCCAACTTCCTCTTCCGGAAGCCTCCAAAGGCTTTGGCGCAAGCCGCACATGTCGATGGCCAATCTCTTGTCGCTGACAATGTGGAGGCCAGCCTGGTTTCCATGGTCGTGGAGCGACCTGCAGTCCGTCACCCACTCCACCAGCACTGAGTCCATCGCACGAACTTGCCATCGAGGGACAGTGCAATGAGGGTGTAGCAGACCATATAGCACGAACCTCAAGTGGTCGGCTTCTTCGCTTCCAGCTAGGAGGCTTAAAGCTTCAGCTTGCAGTGTCGACCTGCAAACCCTCTTCAGCACCGTTGAGTGCCACTCGATCAGCGCCAGCTGTCCTTTCTTGGACTTGTGGAAGTCCGGGCTCGCGAGGCAAAGGAGTCGTCCGCTTTGGCTTCTATGTCCCATCTTTGCTCCTGACGAGCTAGCTTCAAAGTCAGCTGCATGACTGGCATCTTGAATTGCCAGAATCATAGCCTTCCCAAACTCAAAGGCCTTGATGGGGTAGTTCAGGCCAAAGCTCTTGGTCCTCTGGGCCAATGCCACAATGGAGTTGGCATACTTCACATCACCAAAGGTGGCCGAGCGCACGCTCATCTGCATACGGCACACTGCATAGGCCAAATCTGGCCTGCAAACACGAGCCAACCATGCCAAGCTGCCGATGATGCTCCTGAGCTGCCCTCGAACTGCTTCAGGTACTGGTTGAGTTTCATGACGCTTCTGCTCATGGGTCAGCCAAATTGGCCGTACACGGTCGA